GGCCCCGCCCCGCCCCGCCCCACCCCGCCCCACCCCGCCACGGTGCATGCTGACCATAGCGCACACGGACCGTGGTATTGTTTTCTATTCATTATCGAAGCCAATTACACTAATTTCGATCGGACCCGAGGCTCCAATACGAGGGCCCCGCGCGCGAATCTGGCTGCGGGCCCTACGGGGGCCGTGGAGGGGTGGGGGCGGGGGCAGTGCAAGAATGCCGGTGCAGTAACTCCCATGCCAAACAATGGCAGCATGGCAGGGCCAGCCATGGGCCAGCAGCCAGGCCGTAGTGACCAGCAGTCAGCCTGCAGTCAAGCCACTGGTAATTACTCTAACAGAATCATTTTTTTTAGTTTTTTAACGCTTTATTTTCCCCCCCCCCCCCATAGTCTGTGCTGTTTCAACTGCATTTGTTTGGTACCAGCTTTGTTTTTGTTTGTTTTCTAAGACAACGCTTGATCTAGCGACACGTATTGGTATAATGCCTCCTTTTTTTTGGTCGGGTTGTTTCCTCATCCTCTCTAAATTCCGGATTCTTTCTGGCGCACCCTAGGTCCCAGCTGGATTCCCCACAGAGCTTTTCGTCGCTCTGTCCCTCTTCCACTCATAGGTCTCGAGGGGGCTGAGAGAGAGAGAGAGAGAGAGAGAGAGGAGAGAGAGAGAGAGAGAGAGAGAGAGAGAGAGAGAGAGACGAAATATTCGGAATGAGCATGCTAGCAAAGCAGCCACGCCGCCTGCAGCGAGGCCTGTAGCCTGCACTGCAAAGCAGGCTAATTGAGAGACAACACTTTTCCTACGTCGTGCCAGACTTGGCGTTTACCGCGAAATTTCCTCCTCTTTTTTATTCATTTTCCACTATTTGGTGTTGCGCGCTCTCCGAGCTCATGGGCCTCGCGCCCCATTCCTGGCGTGCCTGCGCCGTGTACACTGCGGTACACGCGCTGGTACACTGGCACACCGCTCTCCGTTGTTGTTCGGAGCGGCCTTCCCGGAAAAATTATCGGAACCGAATCGCGTGACAACTCTACGACTATCGAACGCGGAAAAACAAAAAAGAAAGGAAAGAAAAATTTGTGAATACACTGCGAATCCAAGTGTGGGTCAGTCCCACACTAAGAAAACAAACGGGTTCGGTTTGACGCGTCATGTTAGCTTTCGTCTTGAGTTACTTGTGATTGCTGCCTCACTCCGCTCAGCTTTAGGGCCTCTAAGTCATCCATCTCGATAACCATCGCTGGGCATTCACAAAAAAAAAGGAAAAAATTCTAGCCGTTGCTCTACACCTTGCGGGAGAGACTCTTCGCGTGATTTGGACCACCCATTTCGGCGGCCTGTCGCGTGTCGAGGCTCGGCCAGGGTTGGGTCATGGCCGCGGCGGACGCACCGACGGACGCACCGACGGACGCTCTGTCGCCCGGACTTACAGTGATGCCGACTGCGGTGGCGAGGCGGGCTCTGATTTCGCCGGAACGCACGGCCGAGGTGTGAGCGGGGCCGTCCTTTTATTTTTATGGATTTTAATTCCTTGTATTACAACCTAATGGTCATTCTTTCGATTCCGTGTTCACGGCGGGTGTGGAGCGCGCTCGCGTTCGTTACACCAGCCCCCTCTCTTTCGTTTTTTTCGGCCTCACTCACACCGACGCACACTTATCTCTCTCTCTCTCTCTCTCTCTCTCTCTCTCTCTCTCTCTCTCTCTCTCTCTCTCTCTCTCTCTCTCTCTCTCTCTCCGTCTTGTCGTTGGAGTGCGTCTCCCGCCTTAATCATTGCCGCGCCGGGCTGGTCCACTGCTTTCTTGGGAAGAGCGGAGCGAGGCGGCAGTGCCTTGGCAGTACCGCCCTGAAGCCCCAGTCCGCCATGCGCCGCCATGCCTCATCCCGGGAGAGAGAGAAAAAAATAGAAAACATAGAAAAAATGCAAACACCGCGTGGCCTACGTGCATGCAACGCCATTACACCGGCTAGTTACCCTGTCAAAAAAAAAAGCTCTGCAATTCTTAATTGTTTGTAGAGAAAAAAATACGCAGCGCGCACGCTCACACACCATCAATTCTTTGAAAAATACGGAACGCCGATTTAAAATTCAAAACAGCTCAAATGATAATAATGATAATGCACTTTACTCACGGCGCGTCTCTGGAATGTCCGGGGATTGAGGCGTTTGGCCGCGAGGGCGGCGGCGTGGCGTGGCGTGGCGTGGCGTGGCGTGGCGTTTGCCGGTGCACGGTGCATTGCATAGGCGGACTAATTACTAAATTAATGTTTATTTGTTGTGTAATGCGGGATCGTGGGAGGCAAAGAGGCGAGGCGGGCGAGGCGCTCGCGGTGATGAGGGACTTCGCACGTTCGCCGCAACACTCCGCACATGATCGAGATAATTTCTTTGTGAGGCATGAGTACGCCTCGGGCCGCCCCGCCCCGCCCCGCCACTGACCACCACACTACTTACCGGATTGTGAGCTTGTGGGCGGGGGTGAGGTGATCCCGCTGGAGTGCATCAGTACACGTACACTCTCGGGAAAACTTTCAGTGCCGCGGCGGCCGGCTTTGGTTTCACCTGCTTCTCAACGAGGATAGGCGCGTCTCAAAGGAGAGAGAGAGAGAGAGAGAGAGAGAGAGAGAGAGAGAGAGAGAGAGAGAAGAGAGACAGTGGAGCGTGCCGATCCCTGCCGCCCGGCCGGCCTACATGCTACACGCCGGACAGATGCCGCTGCGGATGAGAAATTGCGCGCGGCTCGCCAGACTTGCTTTGCGCTGCGCTGCGCGAAAGGCCACGGCCAAGGCGGCCGAGGCGGCAGATGACGGGCTGGACGAGCCTCTCAGGTGTATTCTGGGACAGCGGGGTGCCGGGGGGGAGGGGGGAGGGGGCGGCGGTTTATCCGCACGACTGATCATGGCGCGGGTGAAGGAAAGCGCAGGGTGGCGGCGGCCTAGACCGCCTAGGCCAGACCGCCTAGACTGGCCTAGACTCGCGGCGTCGGCCGGCAGACGCTCGCTGTATCAAAACGCGCCGACAAAACGAAAACGAGGCGGCGAGCTGTGCCGCGCTGCGAATAGCCGTACTGCGAATAGGCGGCGCGAAGCGGCTGCGACTGCGGATAGTGCGGAGAGGCGCGCCAGCACCTTCATCAGCACTTTCCCCTTCCGTCCGTTTGGCCAGGGCCAGCACACTGGTTCCGAGGGTCGTTTTCGTCGCTCTGTCCCTCTCGCACTCATGGGGCGTCCCGTACAGGTGCGAGAGAGACAGAGCGAGGTAAACGACTCCCGGAATCAGTGCTTGCCTCGGGGTGATTGAGGACGGTGTGTGCCGCGTCCCGTTCCGCGGCTCGTTCTTCGCCGCACGCTCTGTCTCTCTCGCACTCACGGCGCGCTGCGTGTGGGTGCGAGAGAGACAGGCAGAGCGACGAAGCCGCTGTGCGGAATCGCGCGGCAGCGGGCCGCGGGAGAGGAGAGTGTGTTTTCATGGCAATCACCGCACACTCGGCGACACACATACAGTCCCAGTGCCTGCGAGATCGCGCTTGGCCATTCGGAAGCTTCGCAGCGGTCGTTCTTGGAAGGGTGGGTGCATTGACGGGTTCAAAGTTTGGGGGGGGGGGGCGAAGTCGCGAGTTGTCGTCCATGAGGTATCGACCTCGGGGCGCGGTTGTATCCCTTGCAAACTAGTTACTACGCTAACCTAGGTCGCCACCGCGAGCGTGCGACTCGCGGAACCTCGTCCGCGCGCGAGGCCAGTTTGAGCGGTGACAAAGTCATGCCAAAACAGTCAGGTCTCGCGGACCTGAAACGCACGCAGCTCGCCCTTCTCTGGACACGGTGCACTGCGATGTCTCTGCCATATTTCCACCGCAAAGCCGGCAAAGCGTCCTGTCCGCGCTCCCCGCCGACGTACGACGCGGACGGACAGCCCGCCATAACTTTGTCGGATCGGCGATTCTTACTTGTGCCGCGGTATGACGTCCGGACGGCAACTCTGCAGACCGATTCCGAGAGTCGTTTTCGTCGGTCTGTCTCTCTCTCTCTCTCTCCCATACGGGACGCCCCATGAGTGCGAGAGAGACGGAGCGACGAAAACGACTCTCGGAATCAGTCTGCTGCAGCCAAGACTCTGTGCAGTCTCCGCGGCGTCTTTTCATCTTTCCCTTTTCGCCGGGGGCCTCGTGCCGCGCCGGGCGGGGCGGGGCGGGGCGGGCAGAATGGCGACAGTCATCGGGCCATTGCAGTTTTCGCTGTCGCCGTGTCGCCGCGAATCGCGACGCCCCAGCAGGGGCTCCAGGCTGGAGGCTGGAGGCTCCAGGCCAGCAGCAGTTCCAGGCGGCCGGCCGGCCGCGGCTCACTTATTAGTGGCCAGTCATTACGGCTGGACCATCACTGCACTTGGCCTCCTTCCTGTACTCGGCCGGCACCGCGCTCCAGGCGGCTCCAGGCTCCGGGCGGCCTCTTCTGATTGTCCCACTCCAGGACTCCAGGCAGCGCGCTGCAGCGGGTCGCCCTTTCCAGCCTTCCCAGCCTCTCCAGTGTTGCCAGACAAGCCAGCCGCCGATAAGTCAACTCTCGTCGGAGGCGGCGGCCTCACGACGCCACCCGCACGAAATCGAAAACGAAAAACGTGTCTCCATTGACGCGACGGTGGCGGGGCGGGGCGGGGCGAGACCCCCGGGTCATGGATGACGGGGATCGAGAAGGACTGCAGTCTGCAAACGGCTCGGCCACGTCGATCGTGGGCCATCTCATTGTTCGCCTCCCTTCACGGAAACCCTCTCCTCCACCCTCTCCGCCCCGCCGCATTACCACTCCACTGTATATTCCTCTGCAAACACACCGGAGCGATCGCAGCGCCGTCACGCGGCCAATTTCCGCAAATTCGAGCGGCGGGGCGGAGTCCGACGGAGTCCGACGGAGTCCTCGGGGCGGACGTGGAATGCGCACGATTATGAAGCCTGTCGTGTTCAGGTTAGTGGGATGTAGGATGGCAGTGGATAAAGAAGTCGTCTACACACTGTGGGTTTAGATTCAGAACTGAGTAGCTTTATTGGTCACGTGACGAGGCGGATGCTGGTGAGACAGGTGCTGCTGCCCGGTGGGGAAGTCAGGAGATAGCGGGCTACAGTGGTGCCAACTACGACACCTCCCCCCTTCAGGGTGTTGAAAAACATGACTAGTCAGGTAGTTTTCATTTTGATTTATTCATGTTATGAATGATTTTCATACAATTCCTTCACCGATTTCCAACTAAAGTGTAGTACTTTATATTTGTTATAATTATTATTATTTCAAATTTATACAAAACAAGGTTTTTCTTTTCGTCGTTGGCCCTTCTGAAGAGCCCCGCGAGGAACAATTGAATGTTTTAAATAAACAAAAACACACCACTGTGTTTTGAGCTTCTGAACCTCTTGTCGGTTCCAAAACACTGAGAAACTAAAGTAATTTCTTGGCGTTACTCCACGCCTTGACCAAAGTAGCTGGGCTTCTTCACAGGTCGCCCATACCGCGTTCTCTTCCGCTGTATCTCTGCCTCCTGGGTGACGAGCCTTCGTCGTCGGTTGCCTGCAACAGGAGGATTCACAACGTTATTGTTGGCATTAGGAGGTCGAACGATCTGCTCAACAACTGGAGTGGCTGGAGTGACTGCCTCAGTGTTGGCTCGCGACGTGATTACATGTTCAATAAGGCCCTCAATGTCTACGAAGTTGTCATCGTGCATATCAGGTTTTGTGAGAGATGGCTTTAGATGGTAAGTGTTACGCCTTATTTTTCTCCCTCCGTCCATTTGAACCATGTAACTGCTGGTGTCGACTTGCTCAATAATCGTGCCCTTTTTCCACACATTTTTTCTCCTAACTGCCACTGAGTCCCCACTTTTGAAGCTCACCGCTTTGCGAGGGGCACTTCTGTCGTGCAACATTTTCATATGTTTTTGCCTCGCTTCAAGCTGTGGCCTAACGGTTACTACTTTTGGTTTCAGACTTTCCCTGAGCGTTGGCACTGCGGTTCTGCACCTTCTGCTCATGAGGATTTGGGCAGGGGAAATGTTTAGCCCAGAAAGCGGTGTGTTATTGTACTCTAACAATGCATCAGAGAGGTGAGTGCCGTCATCACGTATTTTTCTCATAATCTGTTTCGCAATGTGCACCCCCTTCTCCGCCAACCCATTGCTTCGAGGGTATTCAGGCGAGCTTGTCTTTATGGTGCTTCCTATTTCTTGTGCAAACTCTTTGCACTCCTGAGAATTCAGTGGATTGTTGTCGCCAAATATTGTTTCAGGTATGCCATGGGTTGCAAAGGTGGAGCGGAGCGTCTCTATGACTGCCTTGCTACTCTTGCTGGTTAGTCGTCTCACTTCGAGCCATTTGGATAGGTTATCCTCAACTACCAAGAAAGATTTAGAGTCCAGCTCAAGGATGTCAATGCTAACCTTTTGAAAAGGCAAATCTGGAATCTCATGTGGGGTAAGTGGCTCTCTTTTATTCCTAGCACTATATCTCTCACAGATCCGACACTGTTGCACTGTTGTTGTTATGTCATTGGACATCCCTGGCCAGTACAAAGTCTGTCTAGCTCTGAGTTTTGTTTTCTCTATTCCCAGGTGAGATTTGTGCAGTTTTTTAAGGACTTTACCGCGAAGAGACGGTGGCACTACTATCCTTTCATCCAAAATCACCAGCCCATCTTCTACAAATAGTTCATTGCGAACCTGCCAATATTGACGAGCCTCAGTTGGGACATTTTCTCTATTATTTGGCCAACCCTCCTTGTAGAGCTGAATTACTACAGAGAGGCCTGCATCTGTTGCAGTAGCCTGTCTGAACTCAGCCCCAATTTCAGGTGACATGGAAATGTGCTTGGTTACCTCATGAACAACCTCCAGCATTTCTGGATCGTCATGTACTGGGTCCTCGAGAAATTGGCGAGAAAGAAGGTCTGCCATGTGCATGTGTTTTCCAGGCAAGTACTCGACAACAGGATTGAACTCCATCAGTTTGAGTCTCAATTTCTTTAATCTGTTGTTTTTGATTGAATGCATAGGTTTTTTAACTATTGCGACCAGAGGCTGATGATCTGTGTGAAAAGTCACATTGGGCATGCCCCAGATGTATTTTGCAAATTTCTCTGCAGCAAAGACAAGGGCAAGTAACTCCTTTTCACACTGGGCATACAGCTTTTCTGTTTCAGTTAGTGCCCTTGATGCCATTGCCACAGGCTTGCCATTCTGAAGGAGCACACACCCAATTCCATTCTGACTGGCATCTGCTTGTATAACTATAGGAAGTTTACTGTCAAATGTGGCCAGGACCGGTGCTTTTTTTATACTCTCTTTTAGAGTTTTAAAAGCTTCTGAGTGAGCTGGTAGCCACTGAAATTTTACCATTGGAGAAAGTAATTTATAGAGTGGGGCTGCAATTTGACCCATTTGAGGTATGAAGTTTCTGAGATAATTAAAAGTTCCCATAGTTTTGTGCAACTGAGTTCTCGTAGTGGGTTCTTTGATTGCATCTACTGCCCGCACCCTTTCAGGGTCTACCTTAGCAGAGTTCTCTGACCATAATTGACCTAGAAACTTAACTTCAGGTTTTCTATATTGTATTTTTGAAGGATTAAACCTTATGTTTTCATCTTTAGCCCTTTCCATGACAGACTTCAGGATTTTATCATGCTCCACTGCGTTTTGACCTGGGATAAGTATATCATCAAAATAAACCACGCCCCCAGTGCCCTCGAACGCCTGTTCAGTCAAGAACTGAAAGGTTTCAGGTGCACTTGATATGCCAAACGGCATCTTTAAAAATTTGTATAAGCCAAAGGGGGTGCTGAAACATGTCAGCTCAGTGGAAGGCCCATCCAGGGCAGCATGCCAGAAGCCGTCTTTGAGATCTAGCACAGAGAATATTTTCTTGTTTTTAACTCTAATTTTCAATTCCTCTATTGTGGGAATGTTATAATGTTGTCTCACTATGGCTTTATTTAGATGCTCTGGGTCAAGGCAAATTCGTATGTCCCCATTTGCCTTTTCCCTCAGCAACATATTACTAACATATTTGGGTATTTGATCTTTAACTTTGGCTACTATGCCTGTCTTTTCCAGGTCAGCCAGTTTGCTTTCCAACTTCTTTAGAGTTGAAAAGTGATACCTTCTGGGAGGGCAAGCCCCAGGCTGAGCATTTGGATCAACATTTATTTTGACTACCTGCTTAAACTGTCCCAGTCCGTTGAACTGTTCGGGATACATTTTCTTAAATGCTTCACAATTTTCTGGTAAGGATATTTCCTTTTCCATGCTGTTCACTATCTTAGTCGGATGTTGTACCCTTTTGACTAAGTTTAGTTTCTCACAGGCTTCAATTCCCAAAATTGGTTTAGGCTCAGTTTTGGATAGGAGAAAGTCACACGTTAATGAGTCTCCATGTTGTGTTTCAACTAAAAATGACACAATACCCGCAGGTTGACTGATTACATTACCATACGCTCTAATATGGATGTTAGTGGGCCTCACAGTGTAATTTCTGTTTATTAGATTAAATACTTTAAGGGGCAAGCTATTTATTTCTGCACCAGGGTCAAGTTTAAACTTCACAAAGTGTTCAGTTTGAAGCTTTAGTACCTCAGTATACTCTTTCCTTCGAGTACTGGTATCACCACTAACTATCACTTTGTTTTTTACAGTGGACAACATATGCACACACACTGAACTCACCTGTGACTTAGCTGGTGAAGACTGTGAAGCTGATGAGTTCCAGCCGCCCCGAAGCAAGTCTTCCTCTTCCTCGCTGCCCAGATCCAGGGTCTCAACTGCGTCGACTGACTTCTTCACCTTCTGGTCCCTGGAGTTGGATGAGTGAGTGTTCTTGGTTTCACACACTTTTGTGAAATGGTTCTTTCTACCACAGATTTTGCATTGAGCTCCATAGGCGGGGCATTCCCTCTTACAATGCCATGTTCCACAATTACGGCATTTGTACTTCTGCTCACTTCTAGAGTGAGAAGGTTTCTGGTATGGAGCCTGTCTTTGCGGTCCCCAGTTACCACGAGAGTTCTTTCCTGAGCTGCTGCTGGCATTTCTGCTCTGATTGTAATGGTGTGTTTTCTGTCTGTATCCAGATCCCGAGGCCTGGGCCGTATCAACCTCAGCAACCTTCTGCTCAGTCTGGTTGGAGTATCTGGAAGTGGCCTCAACCGCCTTGCATATCTCGATGATCTCATCCAGTTTTAGGCTTGCCTTGGCTCTAATGTTGACACGGAGTTTGTCATCAAAGACTCCCCAGATTATTCGATCCTTCAGCATGCTTTCTTCCACTTCCTTGTACTCGCAGTCAGCAATTAAATTCCTGAGACTGGTTACCCAGGTTGTGATGCTTTCTCCTCTTTTCTGATTCCGAGCATTGAAGATTTCACGACTAGTGGTGACACATTTCTTCTCAGCCACATATTTGTCAAACTCTTTCAGAACCAAATCATAGTTTTTGGAGTTGTCTACGTCGACTTCTCTTTCCTGTGTCTCTTCGTTCACTTTGTATGTTATCATTTTGCTCTTGAAAGAGTTGTAAATATCCATCACATCAGGTCCAGCTTCCCTCATTAGGATAGCGTGTTTCACTGTTGGGTCCGCACCCGCCTTCTCCAGGGATGTTATATAAAAATCCAGTTTCTGCTTATACGCCTCCCATGTGGCTTGGATGTTTCCGTTTTGAAGGTCCACATGACCCGGGGTCGAAATGCCGGCCATTTGACTGGTCACGGTCACAGACCACTCACAGGGTTTATCACACAGATGTACAGGAACGACACTTCACTCACACTTTTAGCACTAAGTTCACTGCAATTTCTTTCCTTAAGACTGCGCCATGTCGTGTTCAGGTTAGTGGGATGTAGGATGGCAGTGGATAAAGAAGTCGTCTACACACTGTGGGTTTAGATTCAGAACTGAGTAGCTTTATTGGTCACGTGACGAGGCGGATGCTGGTGAGACAGGTGCTGCTGCCCGGTGGGGAAGTCAGGAGATAGCGGGCTACAGTGGTGCCAACTACGACAAAGCCGGCCGTTCGCAGACAATGCGGCGTGTGCAGTCAGCTTCGTGTCAGCCGGACGTCAGCTGCAGGCGGCTTGCCGTCAGCTCAGTCAGCTCGCCCAGTCGTGCGCCCCGCCCCGCTGGACCACACAGAGGCAAAAAGCACACAGTCGGCGCGGGAAAAAGCTGCGCCGGCTAGACGGCCGACCGACTCATCAGCGAGTTTAGCAGAAACAAAAAAGAAAACACATCGCGAATCGATTTAAGTTTCCAGGCGACAGGCGCGCGCACTGTAAGTCCGAGGCGGCGGCGGGGCGTCGCGGCGGGGCGTCGTCGCGGTGCTCTCGGTGCCATCTGTCCTGGGATCTAGTCGGGAAAAAAGGAAAAAGGGGGGGGGGGCTTCCAGTGTCGGGGCCATTGACTGGCGGACGTTCTGGTCGGCTGGATGCAGTGGCGCTCTATTGGATTACCGGGCGGCGAGTCAGCGGGCTCGGTGCGGAAGTTCGGTGTCTCCGTCTCGCTCGCACTCGTGGGGCGGGGTGCTTGGCCGCGGGGGTGAGAGAGAGAGAGAGACGCAGCGAGGCGCCCGGAAGCAGCCCGCGGCGCTCGGGACCCATTCAGGGCGAGATTGCGTCGCGTTTACGGAGTCAGACTTGATTTACATGACAAGTTCAAGAGCCGGCCGGAAAAACGGAAACAATGGGGGCGCCGGAGGGGTCAACACTTTGACAACATTTATAAAGAAGAGGACAACTGGTGCACTGCCTTGGCACTGCCGCCGTGAGCCCGCCCGCCGCGGTCGCTGGCAGGCTGGCTGGCTTCGTGTCGTCGCCGGGCTGCCCTGCCCTGCCCTGCCCTGCCCTGCCCTGGCCCGGCCCTGCCCTGGCCCGGCCCTGCCCTGGCCCTGCCCTGCCCTGCCCGCGAGCTAGCTTTTCGAACCCTACCCTACTTGCCCCGCGCCCCGCCACGCCCAGCCCCGCCCCGCCCCGACAGTCCTCGTGCTACAAAGAGACGGTGGTATCGAAATCAAAAGCAGTTCATGTTTGAGAGGAAACGTGACTTGGCTGGGGATGTGGCGGAGCACGCGGAGCGGCATAGACCGAACGGCGTTCCGTCATCTGTCTCTCTCGCACTCGTTGGGCGCCCCGCGGGGCCCGCGGCGGTGCGAGAGAGACAGAGCCAGGGAGGGCGCCGTTCGGAACGGAGCCGCAGCCCGCCGCCACGTCGCGCCGGGCGACCCGCGCGCGTGACCTTTGGCTGTGCCTTTGGCTGTGCCTCTGGAGACCACCAAAGTGGAGTGAGACAAGTGGAGTGGAGACACGGCAGTGCACTGCACACCCGTCGCCCCGCCGTGGTGCCGCGCATTAAATTGTCGACTGCACTGTCCCATTCCAGGGCGCATCGCCGCCACACTGCAACGCGCTGATCTTGTCGCGGCGGGGCGATGCCGTCGTGGCGGTGCAGCGCGGTGCAGCCATCGCCGTGGAGCGGCAGCGTCATACGGGCCGAGACTTTCGTTGGCTGCGCGGAATACTTTCGTTTCTTCGGGGAAAGCCACAGGGCTGACCCACTGTCAAATTTTGTGTGCAGCGTGACTGTGGGAGTGCGCTAGAATGTGCGAGATTTCTGGCGTATTGGCCACGCGTGTTGCCTACCTGCAAGCGTTTTTTTTTTTTTTTTTTTTTTTGGGGGGGGGGGGGTTCTTTTGGCCACCTGAATGTGGAATGTGTTCAACTCGAGAGGTGACCCACTGTAAAATTTGGTATACAATGATTGTGTGAACCGTTGAAAAGTTGAGAGGAAATTGGTCGTTTTCCCAGAGGTCGTTGCTGTTGGCGGACGAGTGAACGTCCTTGCGGTTTGGCCGAAGCTCCTCGGAGCGGTCTGTTCTCCTCGGGGCGTTGCCAAGCGCCTGGTGGAGACTGACACCACCGAGTCGTCGCTCTGTCTCTCTCGCACCGCCGCGGTAGTCCCAGCGAGAGTGAGAGAGACAGAGCGACGAAAGCGCTGTCCGGGATGAGCCTGCCCGCGGCCATACGGCGCCTTTCTCCCTTCGCGACCATTTCGCCACTTCACCACCACAGAACCGCGGGACTTACTTTTTTTTCTCTCTCTCAAAGCGGGGCCGGCCGGCCGTTCCGCCATCGGTGTGGTTTCATAAAAATTGGCTTGTAAGTTATTGCGGTGCCTTCCGGCCTGCCGCCCCCGCCGAGGCCCCCGCCGCCCCGTTCCGCCCCAATAAGGGCCCCGGTAAGGCCGTCTGTCTCTCTCGCACTCATGGGGCGCCCCGTGTGGGTGCGACAGAGACAGAGCGACGAAAACGACTCTCGGAATCTGCAGGGCAGCAAGGGCCGCAGAGGCCGGCAAGGCCCAGGGCCATGGCCAGGGCCAGACGGGCCCGTTAGGGATAATCGCAGCAGGCGTGCTGTCCAAAATCGGCACCGCTGTGGTGGACGGTGTACTGGGCGGACTTGGTGGACTTGGTGGAGGAGGCTGCAAGGGGAGTGATTAGAGGCGGCGCACAGTGGGCCAGAAGTCTGACCCGTGGCGAAACTCTGCGACCGACTTTTGAAACTAAGAGCGTCCCTTGTTTGCTATGTTGCAGCTTCGTCCTGAACCCGCTCACCCCCGTGCAGGACACCCTGTGCCAGCTGCAGAACGAGACGTCGGCCAACAACCCGGCCGCCGTGCCGCAGCGGTCCGTCAACTTGTACTACATGGTCAAGATGCAGATCAGATCAGGTAGGCAGCGCCCTGGGATCGGCAGACCGATTCCGAGAGTCCCTTTCGTCGCTCTGTCTCTCTCGCACTCATGGGGCGTCCCGTATAGGTGCGAGAGAGACAGAGTGACGAAAACGACTCCGGAATCTGCCTACTGGGCTTCGGCAGGGTTGCAGTTGCAATTTCACTGCACGAGCCCACTGCCCACCAAAAACTAAATGACTTGCATTTTTTTTCAACAGACAACGTGTGCCTGAGGCCGTGGTCGTTCGAGCGCGTGCCCAACAGGATGATCCGGGGGCTGGACCGCGCCCTCATCTACACGTCCACCAAGGAGGCCTGCCTGGCCGCCTGCCTCAACGAGGTGAGCGCGCTCGAGCGCCGGCCGGCACACTGTGGGCCAGAAGACCGGTGGAGGCGGCCAAAACCCTAGACGCGTTTTGAGCTCCAGAGTCGCTAAACAGGACTCGAACCGAGCTTTTCACATCTGAATGTAGAATGTGTTCAAATTTGGTACAGTCAATGTGGGAAGTTGTCCACCTCCCCCTCGGGCTGTTCGGAGCCGCGGAGGGAGCGATCGAAACTGTCGAGACCATCGAGAGCGATCGAGAGAGTGTGCGCCGTGACAGATTCGACGGATTTGGCGGGCGTGGCACGGCGTGGCTGCAGGCTGCAGGCCTTTGCAGGGCCTTTCTTGCCGGCTGACCGGCAGGCCGGCCGTCAGGGGGACCACCGCGACTCCCATTGTCCGGTATTGCCTCATCTCGCCTCCGCCCGAGAGTGTCCGAGAGCGTCCATGACGCAATGGAGCGGAGCCCCTCGGCCCTCTCGGCGCGCGGAGGGCCTCCGAGGGCTTCTCACGGGACGGGATGTCACAAAATGGTTCCGCCAGCATTCCCCCGGTGCAGGCCGCGGCGGACTGATTCCGAGAGACGTTGTCGCTCTGTCTCTCTCGCACCGACGCGGAACGCCTTGCGAGCGCGAGAGAGACAGAGCGACGACAGCGACTCTCGGAACCAGTCCGCAGGCCGGACCGCGCAAAGCGCCGCCCCATACCGATTGCCGCGCCGAATCGCGCGCGTCACTCGATTTCCTCCGTTCTGTTTTTGTCGCCGTTGTCAATTTCCTTTTTATTTTTACTGTTTGCTTTTCTCCGGTAAAAAGGGAAGCGGGGTAGTAAAAACCGAGCCGGCAAGATGCAGCCGTCCTGGCGGCCCGCCGCGCAGCGTGGCGCGCGCTGGGCTGGGCCACCCCGGCGTTTGCATTCTCCGCGCGGAATGTCTCACTATGGTCCTCTGCTTGGCGGCGACGAACGAGGAGGAAAAGGAGAAAAAAGTGACGGGGTGACATTGTTGCAGCACCGGTTCGAGTGCCGCTCCGTGGAGTACAACTACGTGACGCTGCGCTGCCACCTGAGCGACGCCGACAGGCGCAGCACCGGCCAGTACATCCAGATGGTGGAGGCGCAGGGCGTCGACTACTTCGAGAACCTCTGCCTCAAAGGTGAGCGCCGTGGCCTCGGCCGTGGCCGTGGTGGAGTCTCGTGGCGCTTCGGACGCCCAGACTGAAACCACCGCACAGCGGGTTAGAACATCGGAGCAGGCGGCCAAAACTCTACACTCCAAATCCAGGGTGTCTAGAAACTATACGCCTTAGGCGTATGCCACAGAAATGGAACTGCCTTAAGGCGCCTTGATTCTACACGCCAAAGGCGTATACCCCATTGAGCACCTTTTGCAGATAGAAGTTAGCATGTGAGCACCATTGGTCGAAGGAAAGGTGCGTGCATTGTACACACCCTGGATCATAGGCACTGAGCTCAACAGGACTCAAGGTGCGTAGAATGTAAACACCCTTTAAGGCCTCGGTAGGCATGGCCTCGGCCGAGGGCGGTGTTTGCATTCAACGCCCCTAGAGTCCTGTTGAGCTCAGTGCCTATGATCCAGGGTGTGTACAATGCACGCACCTTTCCTTCGACCAATGGTGTTCACATGCTAACTTCTATCTGCAAAAGGTGCTCAATGGGGTATACGCCTTTGGCGTGTAGAATCAAGGCGCCTTAAGGCAGTTCCATTTCTGTGGCATACGCCTAAGGCGTATAGTTTCTAGACACCCTGGATTTGGAGTGTAGACGCGTTTTGACGCCGGCGCCGGTCTTCTGGCGAATCCACAGTGCGACGGCCTCCACGACGCGCACCCTCTGACGTGACGCCTCTCTGTTGCAGCCAACAAGGCCTGCAAGGGCAGCCGCGTGTTCTCGCAGCCGCGCATCGGCGTGGCGGCCGACAAGGTGGCGCAGTACGCCAGCCTGCACTACTACGTGGACAAGGAGCTGCAGGTGGCGAGCGAGGCGGCCTGCCAGCTCGCCTGCGAGGTGGAGAACGAGTTCCTGTGCCGCTCCTTCCTGTTCCGGGGGCCGCCGCAGGGCGCGGCCTACAACTGCCAGCTGTTCCACCTGGACCACAAGACCCTCCCCGACGGGCCCTCCACCTACCTCAACGCGGACCGGCCGCTCATCGACGACGGCGAGCGCATCGGCAACTACATGGAGAACTACTGCGAGAGTGAGTGCCGCCTCTATCGCCGTCTCTCTCGCACCCGATGCGGCAGTGCGGCGCGGCCCGCGAGTGCGAGAGAGACAGAGCGACGCTCGCCGTGCGTGCGTGCGTGACACTAATGCCCACTCTGCCGCCAGAAACGAGCGCGACGATGGACCAGCTGCCGGTCGTGTTCGACACCACGGAGGACCCCAACGTCAACAACCTGACCCGGGCGGACGTCAACTGCGACAAGACCGGCACGTGCTACGACGGTGAGTGCCCCGTCAACGCGCGCGCTCGCTACGCACCGTGGGCCGGAAGACCGGTGGAGGCGGTCAGCATCCCGGACGCGTTTTGAGCTCCAGAGTCGCTGAACTGGACGCGAACCGAGCGTGTGACCCCACCAATGGATTGCTCGTTCGGACAGCAGTCCCTTGGTGGGGTCACACGTTCGATTCGAGTCCCATTTAGTGACTCTGGAGCTCAAAACGCGTCTAGAGTTTTGGCCGCCTGCTCTGGGTCTTCTGGCCCACGGCGCCTGTTCGGTTGTTTGTTTCATTCTCCTGCCCTGTCTTTTTCCTTGACTCACACGCTCTGTTTCTCTCCCGCCGCAGTCTCCGTCAACTGCAAGGACACTCGCATCGCCGTGCAGGTGCGCACCAACAAGCCCTTCAACGGGCGCATCTACGCGCTGGGCCGCTCCGAGACGTGCAACATCGACGTCATCAACAGCGACCTGTTCCGCCTCGACCTCACCATGACCGGGCAGGACTGCAACACGCAGTCTGTGGTGAGTAGTGAGGTCTGTCCCTGCACCAGTCTCTCCGCACGCTGCACGCACTAACAGTGTAGAGCCCTCTGCAGACTGTACGGCGGTACAGTGCTCAGTGGGCCAGATGACCGGCCGCGGCTGCCAAAATTCTAGACGCGTTTTGTGCTCCAGAGTCGCCAAATGAGGCTGTAACCGCCCGAGTGACCCCCACAAATGGATCCCTCGTTCGGAGACCAATCCATTGGTGGGGTCATACCCTCGGTTTGAGGACCGTTTAGCGACTGTGGAGCTGAAAACGCGTCCGAGATTTTAGCCGCCTCCACCGGTCTTCTGGCCCACTGTGCGGTGCGACCCGGCTGAAGCATGTCGGTGTCCGCTGCACAGTTTGTAGAGCCCTAGTAGTGCTTCTAATAATTTTTAGAGGAAAAAAGTGCTTTGCTTTAATCCCTGTTCCCTCCACCTTTCGTGGAAATGCAACTTGTCGCTCGACCGTAGCGCCGCTGGCGTCGTGCGCGTCGCTCCGACATGAAATTACATAAATTAGAATTCCTCTCGTTTTGGATCTCCGCGGCAGCCGATGGCCCGGAAACAGAGGTCCGGTCGGGCTTGGCTGCATGCCGCTTGCGGGGGCTCAGCCCCCACCCCTCCCGCCAAGACGCACGCCGCGCGGAGCTTCCGGTGGGCTCGTCATTGTCTGCACGGCGACGGCGAAAAACCGGAACGAGACTAAACGTCGCAGCTAGCGCCAGCAGTCCGACTCCGGGGCGGCGCTTTCGTCGCTCTGTCTCTCTCGCTCTCATGGAGCGTCCCGCAAGGGTGCGGCAGAGACAGAGCGATGAAGCGCAGGCCCGCGGCAGGCAGCACAGCCAACAGCGCGGCCGGAAATCGAAACATCCTGCAGAGTGTGAAAAAAAAAGGAGTCGCAGGGCAACAGCGCGGCTGGGTTTGTTGAACTTGTTGGACTTGCGTAGTTAGTGGAAACTTGTAGTTTGTCGCAGTAAAAGCTTCTGACTCGCCGCGACTCGCAGAGTTCATTCGCGGTGGTGGTCTGGGACTGCTTGCATGGCATAGCTGCACAGTGGGCCAGAAGACCGGCGCAGGCGGTCTAAACTCTTGACACGTTTTGAACTCCAGAGTCGCTAAACGGGACTCGAACCGAGCGTGTGACCCCACCAATGGGTTCCTCGTTCGGAGAGCAATCCATTGGTAGCGTTTCTCCCAACGATGCACGACCCCTGCAACGACCTGAAAAAAAAATACCACGTGACACAGGCAAACTCGGTCGCCTTGGTGCTTGCCTCGGTGCTTCATGGCGGCGTCCTCGTTGTTCCAGACCGGAGTGTACTCCAACACGGTCGTCCTGCAGCACCACAGCGTCGTCATGACCAAGGCCGACAAGATCTACAAGGTCAAGTGCACCTACGACATGTCCTCCAAGAACATCACCTTCGGCATGATGCCCATCAGGTCAGTTGCTTGGACGTGGCGGGCATGTGCGGCGTCCCCGTGCGGACGGTGTCGCGCCTCGGCGTGCTCAGGGCTGTGCCCAGGGCCGTGCCCGCGCCACTGTGACTCTGTGTGCGACGCCTGACGCGCTCCTCGCCTGCTCCAGGGACCCCGAGATGATCTCCATCACGTCCGCCCCCGAGGCGCCTCCGCCGCGCATCCGCATCCTGGACGCGCGCAGCAGGGAGGTGGAGACGGTGCGCATCGGCGACAAGCTCACCTTCCGCATCGAGATCCCCGAGGACAGTGAGTACCAGCCGCCCTCTCTAGCCCGCGCTGCACGGTGGGCCAGAAGACCGGTGGAGGCGGTCAAAATCCCGGACGCGTTTTGAGCTCCAGAGTCGCCAAATGGGACTGGAACCGAACGTGTGACCCCACCAATGGATTGTTCCCCGAACGAGGAGTCTATTGGTGGGGTCACACGTTCTGTTCGAGTCCTGTTTAGCGACTTCAAAGGAGTTCAAAGCACGTCCGGGATTTTGACCGCCTCCACCGATCTTCTAGCCCACGCTGGCTCCGCCGCCACGACGGTCGGCCGGTGCGCGAAGGGTTGCCTGCCCGCCAGGCGGTCGCCGGCCTCCCGAGGCGCGCGAAGGGGAGCCAACCTGCCAGGCGCTAATCTCGCTCTCTCTCCCCCGCAGCGCCTTACGGCATCTTCGCCCGCAGCTGCGTCGCCATGGCCAAGGACTCCAAGAGCACGTTCCAGATCATCGACGACGAAGGGTGCGTCGACTTCCGTTTTATTTCGTTGTTTTTATGCGATTGTTGCGGTTCGTTTTTGTGTTTTGCGGGCGGTCCCTTGACTCTGCGCTGTGCTTGCTGCAGGTGCCCCGTGGACCCGGCCATCTTCCCCGGCTTCATCCCCGACGGCAACGCGCTGCAGTCCGTGTACGAGGCGTTCCGCTTCACCGAGTCGTACGGCGTCATCTTCCAGTGCAACGTCAAGTACTGCCTCGGCCCGTGCGAGCCTGTAAGTGGAGACGGCACACGAGTAGCGGGGAGGGGAGGCTACGTTCCTGTTACAGAAGTGTTTCTGGCTGTTTTCGCAAACCACTGGGAGCGAACCTGGTGATTCGCAGTGGGCCAGGACACCGGCGGCGCAGGCGGCCAAAGACCCGTTTTGGGCTTCAGAGTCGCTCAATGGAACCCGAACTGGACGTGTGACCCCACCAATGGATTGCTCTCCGAACGAGGGATCTGTTGGTGGTGCGACACGTTCAGTTTGAGTCCCGTTTAGCGACTCTGGAGTTCAAAACGCGTCAAGAGTTTTGGCCGCCTCCGCCGGTCTTCTGGCCCACTGTGTGGCGGTTGCTGACTGCTGACCCCCCGCCGCTGTTGCAGGCCGTGTGTGAGTGGGGCCGCGAGTCCGTCGAGTCCTGGGGCAGAAGGAGACGTTCGGCGCCGTCCAACGACTCCGAGGAGGCGTCCGGCGACGACATGACGCTGTCCCAGGAGATCCTGGTGCTGGACTTCGGCGACGACAAGCAGAGCCAGTCCCTCAGGAGTGAGGCGTCCACCGACTTCGGCAAGGGTAAGGCTGAGCCGCAATGCGTCGCGTCGTGGAGCGTGCCGCATGCCGGCCTGCGTGCCGCCGCGCTGCGTGTGAGTGTGACTGAAGTGTGACTCTGTCGCGTTGCAGACCACACGGTCATCATGACGGACACGTGCCCGACGAGGACGTCCGTGCTCGCGCTGGGCGTGACGTGCGCCCTGCTGGCCCTCGTGTACCTGTCGACGCTGCTCTGCTACTGCACCAAGAAGTGGATGTACCCCCAGAAGGTGGTGGCTTGAAGGAAGCCGCGGACACGATGGCCATGAACCTCCCGGTCCTGGAGCAAGGTGGCAGCACGTCGTGGCGCCCGTGGTGCCGACATGCCGCCAGGCCCCAGCCACCCCTGCTGCAGTGTCCACGCCGCCTCCCCCACCGCCGCCATCTAGACCCTCGTCCCGGACGAGTCCCGGACTGTGACGTGACACCAGGGGCAGTCTGGCCCAGAAGAAATGGATAACCTGGCATCGTGGAGACTATGGCCAGCCGCCGGAAGCGGCGTTGTTCAGTGCGCTGCTGGGCGTCTTCCGCGCACCGAGCCGCCGCCAGCTCGCTCGGGCGCGAGGAGGCCCACGCGGGGCACTCCGGTCTCAGCTTCAGTGGTTTCGAAAACTTCCTCCAAAAAAAATGTTTGAAAATGATTGAAACTTAGGAAACGTGTGAGACTGTGTACAGTGTACAGTAGGCTGCTGGCCATAGCAGTAGGTGTCGCAGCTAATCCACTTCTTCCTCAAGTCCCCCAACCGTTTTGTGTCACAGTGCGAGACCACTTTGTTTCACGATTGCAATTAGACTGGTGGGTGGAGACGTCAGGTCGTAGACGTTCCCGGCAAGTTGGACTGCTGGCTATGTAAGCAACCGTAGCAGGAAAAAAAATTATCAAGGTGACCAGTTACTCACCTGTCGCTTTTTTTTTGTCCCATGACGCAGTTCTTCATCGAAACATAATCTTAGTGTATGCTCAAAAGACTTTCCCTTGACGCCTTGAGTTGTGTTCCATTGTAAACTGTATAGTGAGCACTCCCTCTCAAGTACTGCTCTGACTGATGTTCTTCGCCGGATGGTAGTGTGTTTGCTATTTTGTTTTGAAGCTCCTGTGATGTATTATGTTTTATTGGGCGCAACTGCAGCAGGACCCGCGCTGCTCAGCGCGCTGCCGCTAGGCCCACCGCGACGGCCTCGCGATGGCCCACTCGTGTTGGGCCTCCCGGAGCCCCGGTCCCGCCCCGCCTGCCTACAGTTCATAACTTATTATTAATTTATTTATGTATTTTTAAATGGGTCAGTCGTCTTCCAACTGTAGTGAGCAAAAGCTACAGAGAACGCCCCCAGTAGAAGTGTCCATAACTATGGCGGAATGTGAGGAAAAAAAATAATCGAGGGATAGTTTTTCTGACTGAACGGTCAGTTTTAATGTTTTCCATTCGTACTTGCCCAGGTCACTGTTTTGACACCAACTGGATCTTGTCTAAGCTTTAAACATGAACAACGAAAAGTGACCTGGGGTTTGACAATTCCCCAAACTCTATTACGCCGATGACTCTGATCGGTATCCTCTGTATCGACATACCCACCACAAAGATTGTCATTTTGTTTACAATCGTGTAGGTGTCTAAGACTTGCGTAATTCAAATCTACCGATGTTACTGTCTCCTTTTTTCTTGGTCTATTATTGTTATGTCTCCTAGCTGCAAAGCCGTAGCAAAAACCTTACACTAATTTATTTTGTATATAACTGTGATCAAATACAAAATACTTTTACTTAAGAACAATCCAGATTATTTATACTTTTCCATAATAAAATTGAGAGAATAAGAAAACGTGTTGATTTAATACTATACCCCACAACGGGTCGGTCCGTCGCACACGGTCGGTCGAACGGTCACATGGAACATCACTAACCGGTGGCTTGGTCGGCAAGAGCGTCGCCCAAATCTTTTCATGAGTTTGGTTCCCAAACTCTCAGTTCACCTCACTTCACGAACCCGAAGAATCAGGTAACCATGTGTCTGAGTTTGGGCGGAGACACACCGGGTGATTTGGTGGCGCAGGAGTTCGGTTCAAATCCCAGGTATAGAAATGTTTTCCTCTGTTGAACCTCGAATCCGGTACCATTACTTCCAAGATTGGCGAGCGAATTTTCATCGTCTCGGTGGCTGGGAGCGCAGAGGAGGTGTTCGCGCTGAGAGACTTTGATTCGAATCCCGGGTACCGAAACATTTTTCTCAGTTGACTGCATGAATGCGGTACAATTAGCCCAAGTTCGGACTGGTTCACATTAAGGAGAGCCTCGGTGGCTCAGGGGGCTGAGGTGTCGGTCGTAGAGAGAAGCACTCGGGTTCAAATCCCGGCTAAGAGTATGGTTTATGTTTTCCGCCGCGGTGCTGCTTTTGCAGCAGCGTGTCAGATGGGTGGCCTACCTTGACGGCGCGGCTCATACACCGAATTAAAGGCCAGATACCTTCCAAACAATCTTGGCTGTTAAAGAGTGCAAAAGAGAGTTCCTGCCGTCAGCCTTCGTCAGCGTGGCAAATGGGTGGTCTATCTTGGTCTCTCTGTATATCACCTCTAGGATGCAAAAGAGTTCCCGCCGTCGGCTCTCACCCCCCCTACCCCCCCTCCCAGAAGGAGAGGGGAGTAGGGGCAATCATAAAGGGTTAGTAACCTGACCTGGCTGGTAGCGAACCAGGTCCAACGGGAAACATGTGCTGCCGCATGGCCTCCAACCAGCCTCCACGGCCCATCGCTCTGCCACCTGAGCTACGACAACACACCTGTCCGACACGTCCTATCTTAGAGTGATGGTACCGGGGTTGAGAAGTAAACTGAGGAAAAGATTCACTCAACTGGGAATCGAACCCAGTTCTTCCTCCCACCGGCCGACACCTCTACCATATCGACCATCCAGCCACTGACAAGCAACGCGATCTATCTTAGAGTGATGGTACCGGATTTGAGAAGTAACCTGAGGGAAAAGATTCACCCACCTGGGAGTCGAACCCAGGACTTCCTCCCGCCAGCTGACACCTCTACCATATCAGCCAACCAGCCACTGAGATGCAATGTGATCAATCTTAGAGTGATGGTACCGGATGTAAGAAGTAAACTTAGGAAAAGATACACTCCTGGGAGCCGAACCCAGGCCAGCTAAAGAAAATAAGTTTGTCATTGGGATTCGAATCCAAGTCCTCATTCGAGGCGGCCGCTGCCTCTGCGCCCGGAGCCACCGAGACACATAAGCCTCCACAGCGTTGCCGATCGACCGTCCGACCCGACCGACCGTCTGCGACCGACCGACCCATTGTGGGATCACCTTAAAGGCGTCGATCGGAATTAAATAAAGTATCCCTGGATTCGATTCTCGGGGTTGCCTTTCTCATGGCCACTATTCCCTTCTTAATGCTTTATCCCTGTTGTTCACAGCACCGGGAAGGTAGACTACCCCTTTGGCACGTCGCAGGCAAGACGTGCTGGGACGTGCAAATATGTCAGGATGCAGAATAATCTGAGAATGAGGGACTCAATGAGAAATAAGAACGATTAACAATGATGTTTCGGCTATTTATTGCGATTTAAGTGTCACTGAGACTCCGTCCTTCCTTCCTGAAAATTGTTTCACCCAAACTCATCGTGTGCCACAGTGAAAAACAAAGGACGACAGATTTCTTCAAAACTGGGGACACCATTCACATCGGCAAATGAAATGGAATAGAGCAACTCGTTCCGGCCACAACATGGGCGACCCGGAGCACGAGGCAAGGAGGCTGTGCGGATGGATTTCGCATTTTATTGAGATCACTTATCGCTCGGTTTGCAACAAGGTTGCTTTGGTCTTTTCTTTTAAGTTAATGCAACGTTTGGAGCAGGGTAATAGACCATATCAGCCGTCGCCGAGCGAGGGGGAAATCACTCTTAAAAACTGTGACCCGACTACTCCCTATTACGTTCTATTACGTATAAACAAAGGCCTTTTTCAACTCGGAAATTTAACCCCAAAGATTTAGAGCAAACTTCCGGCCCAAATGGGGACCCATCAAAAAGGCTGGCTATTTCGTTTTATTAGATATTACCCCGGTAATGCAGCAATCTTTGGTAAGTTAATGCAACGTTTGGAGCAGGGTAATAGACCATATCAGCCGTCGCCGAGTGAAATTCGAAAGTGATCAAAACGCAGGAACCAGCTACGCGCTACCTAGCGGCCACTGTCTGAACTTCCTCCACACCTACGCTTGTTACCAATCCAATTTCAGCTTTAGGCAGTTTACAATGACGTCCGCCAGGTGGCACGCTGCTGGTTCCTGTCTTTTAAAGTTAAATTGTCTTTGTGCTGCACTCGACGACGACTGCAAGGATCTATAACCAAACATTCGCTCCACCCGGCCAACCGTGTCCACCATATCCACCCTCTTGCAGTTGCCGCCGAAGCGGCGGGGCGGGCCTCTGGACGGCAGCGCCGCCTCGACGCCTAGAACCGTTGGGCCGTCGGCCCGCGGCGACGGCCGCTTCACCAGTTGAAGAAGTTCTGCGGGCACTCGCTGTGGCCGCCGCACCACCGGCGCTCCTGCAGCGCGGGGCACGGCGTCCCTCCGCGCCGGGGGTGTTCCAGGACGCGGCGAGAGCGCGTCGCGTCGCCCACACCGCACGACACGCTGCACGCCGACCAGGGCGACCACTCCGACACTTGGCAGTGCTTGGCTTGCCCTGCGGGAGGCGAGGAAGGCCGTCACACAGTGGGCCAGAAGACAGGTGGAGGCGGCCAAAACTCTAGACGCGTTTTGAGCTCCAGAGTTGCGAAATGGGACTCGAACCGAGCGTGTGACCCCACCAATGGATTGCTCTTCGAACGAGGAATCCATTGGTGGGGTCACACGTTCGGTTCGAGCCCTGTTTAGCGACTCTGGAGCTCAAAACGCGTCGAGAGTTTTGGCCGCCTCCACTGGTCTTCTGGCCCACTGTGCGTCAGCACACTGGGAGGGGAAGTCCTCGGCAGGGTTGCCACACTAGTCTCTGCTCGCTGCTACTCACGGCTGCCCTTCTTGCTGCGGCGCGCCTTGCTCGTCCGCCGGATGGCGCTCTCGGTGCTGTCGAAGACACTGCCGCCCAGGCCGCCACCCAGACTCGCCCCCAGGCTCGGGCTGAGGTCGTTGCTGATGTCGTTGCCGTCAACCACGGCGTGCACGGCGTCCCTGCCGCGCGACGCGTTCCTCGACAGCTCCGCGCTCAGGTGGTACACTCGCTCCTAGGGGCCGGCAGGGTTATGCAAATTAAGTTGAGTCCAAGCCCCAAAAGGGGTTGTGCTCTGCAAACGCAAGTGTGTGTTTGAAACAGTGTGCATGCAGGCCCACATTTTAAACTACGCGCCGTGCACACAATGGCGTTTGCAGAGTGCTGTTACAGTGGCGTGCGCACAAATTTTGAAAAGGGTTGTCAAGGCACGTTGTTTGCTTACCTTTAGTAGCAATGCATCGCAATCCTCCTACCTCGCCTGCCTTCCAGGCGGTTGCCTCGCGTCAAAAGGTGTTTGAGGTCATGCACTGCAGAGTGGGTTAGCCAAGCCAAGCGGATCCATGCAAGCGGGAGCCGCGGGACGCCCCCCACAGTGTGGCACACACCTCCAGCAGGTCGTCGATGTCGTCCATCTCGGCCTGCTCGAAGGTGGGCGTGTCCGCGGGGATGTCGCGCGCGCACGCGGACGGGCAGCGCGACGCGGAGCGCGCGGACAGCGCGTACGACGGCGTGGTGCTGGGCCTGGACGTCATGGACGCCTCTGGCGCCGCGGTTGAGGTGCCTTTGGACGTTCCAGTCGTGGCTTCGGTTGCTGCGGTTGCCGTGCTGACAGTCGTTTCTTCTTGTGAGACTTCTGAAGACGCATGTGCGCCTTCTTGGTCGCTCGTTGTGGCCGTGGTCTCGGTCGCTTTCGTGGTGGACCGCGCCGCCTTCGACTCTGCGTCCGGAGCTGCAGACAGTGGCGGAGCTTGCGGAGCCGCTTCTCGGGCCACCCTGGCCGCCCTCGTCGAGGGGCTGGAGCTGGCAGCGAGGGTCGAAGGGGAGGACGCGGAGGGCGCAGTGGTGGAGCTCGGAGAGGCCGGCGTCGTGGAGGTCGGTGTCGTGGAGGTCAGCGTCGTGGAGGTCGGCGTCGTGGAGGTCGGTGTCGTGGAGGCCGGCGTCGTGGAGGTCGGTGTCGTGGAGGTCGGCGTCGTGGAGGTCGGCGTCGTGGAGGTCGGCGTCGTGGAGGTCGGCGTCATGGAGGTCGGTGTCGTGGAGGTCGGTGTCGTGGAGGTCGGCGTCGTGGAGGTCGGCGTCGCGGAGGTCGGCGTCGTGGAGGCCGGCGTCGTGGAGGTCGGCGTCGTGGAGGTCGGCGTCGTGGAGGTCGGCGTCGTGGAGGTCGGCGTCGTGGAGGTCGGCGTCGTGGAGGTCGGCGAGGCAGTGGCGCTCCTGCTGATACACGCCCCCGCAGGCGCCCCTTCCGCCGCACGGCACTGCAGCATTATTCACGCTAAAGCTCGGTGGTTAGGGGTCAGTGCAAGCCTTCCCATCTCTCGCTTTAAAAAAGGGTTCCTTCAGATATTAGTTGATATCGCGGCACTCCATTTAGTGAATCAGTTACCTGGTTACTTGTTAATTGATATGGGTTCGTCCACAAATTACGTGACGTGCTCTGTCCCTCTCGCACTCACTGGTAGTCCACAAGGAGCAACAAAGACAGCTATGAAAACGTTACGTAAATAAGTGGACGATCCCCATTGACAAAGCCGGGCAGGGTGATACGGACATACACTCTCGTCCACTTGGATTTAGATGCGTTGGAGGTGCAGGGCCACCTCGTTGCCCACCTTGACGAAGGTCAGTGTGGCGATGGAGGGCAGCTTGTCCAGCTTGGGGTAGTAGAACGAGTTGGCGGGGTGGCTCGGCCTCTTCGACGTGATCCTGGCCACCGGCTCCTTGGGCTCGGACGGCCAGTTGGGGGCCGTGAACGTGAAGCCGTTGTCCGTGCCCGCGTCCATGGGGTCCACCTGCAGCAGGGACACTGTCAGGTTGCGGGGGAGGCTGAGCCGCACAGTGGACTCAGGGCTCTTCGTTTGGTCAGAGGATAACCTCGATGGCGATGGAGTCGATCCAGTGGTTGCCTCTGCACAGGTCCAGGCTGTCCACCCCGATGAACCAGTCCGGCGAGGGCACCACTCTGACGGCCACCGACACCTGCACCAGAAAAGTCACGTGACGTCGAAGCGGAAACAGGGGCCGGGTGGCGGCGGCGAGGGTCCGACTTGCCAGCGAGTGGTTGCCGTCCAGGAAGAAGTCGGCGACGGTGCGGCCGACGCCCCTGGGCACGGGGGGCGCCGTGAACTCGTCGTACACGCCCTCGTGGTCCGCGGCCTCCAGGCTGTCGGAGTGGCCCTTCTCGGCGAACGCCTGCAGCCCCGCGGACGCCATCTCGCCCTCGCGGAACAGCCAGTACGAGGCGTCGTGCGTGCGGCCTGCCGATTAGATAGACTTCAGCTCAGTTTTAGAAGGTTTTGTGGAGGTTCAGTGGCTTGCAGCTCCATCATGGGCCACCTACGATCATTTCGTGGTCCAGCCATTAATCGCAATCGCAATCGCCTGCTGGGTAGGCAAACCCTGGGCCATCGACGCACGGGTGTCAGCGTGTTGCCTACCCGGCAGGCTGTCCTATTACCATTACCATTAAGGGCTAGACCACACATGATGCGGCAGGCTGTCCTATTACCATTACCATTAAGGGCTAGACCACACATGATGCGGCAGGCTGTCCTGCTCGCCCGACCGACCTTACCGGGTGGGTCCTGCCACGCCGTGCTGCTGTGCCCGCAGGGGGCGGCCTGCCTCAACAACGCCAAACCTAGGGGAACCCAGGGGCGCAGTTCCCAGCTCCCCCCCCCCCCTTCCGGCTGACGCCCCAGACCTGTCCTACTCTTCTTTCGCGTGTCGGCTCTCAGGGCGGCGCCGTAAAATCGAAGTGTTGCAGATAAATCTGGCCGACCATTCAGGCCGCCCCACCCCCACCCTGAGCCGGTCACTATCTCTCTCTCTCTCTCTCTCTCTCTCTCTCTCTCTCTCTCTCTCTCTCTCTCTCTCTCTCTCTCTCTCTCTCACACACACACACACACACACACACACACAAACACAAACAACACACACACACACACACACACACACACACACACACACACACACACACACACACACACACACACACACGCGCACACACACACACACACCAAGCAGGTAAACCTCAAACCTCAAACGAGCGTCCTCGTTGCGTTTATCGCTTCAACCTCCTTTTGCAAATTTCACAATTTTAGAACAGTAATTACTTTGACGGGTCGGGCGAGCCGAGATGCGGTGTTTATTTTGGCGCGAAACAAGAGTGCGCGAGTCAAGCACCGCTATTATTTGCAACGAAAACAAAATCGGACACATCGAGACTAGCGAAGCGAAGCGGGTTTGTTGTGTTGGCAGTGGCGCGCTCCCGTCACCGGTCGCAACATTTTCCTGGCCGGCTCATTGTTTATTTCGAGGTGGTCGAATTGGGTCGGCCGTTTATCAGGTTCAGGAATGGGGATGTTGTGGCTGAGTCCCTGCCCGGCCGGCCCGGCCCGCCTAGCCCGCCCATCCGCATGGCAGCGCGCCTATCGCTTTTGCACACAATGTTGCCTCCTAGAAGTCGGTAGGAGTCCCCGCGACGCACGCGCGTTGCTGTCGAAGGGGTTGCCTATCTCAGCCGTACCCACTGTACAAATCAGGTTCAGGGATCAGAGAGGAGGTTGTCCAAAAGGCACCCTCTCGACATCAGTGCGCACAAGCCTACTGCAACTATGCCGTGGTACAAGCATTCTCGGAAAACTGACACTTGCAGTACGTTCTAGTTTGGATCTCCCCGGTCTGACGAAACGGCGCTCACTTTTTTGGCGGGGTCACTCACCGACCATCTTGGACCAGCCCGCGGGCGGCCGCCACTCGGGGTACTGCTTCGGGAACGTGTCCCGGCTCCAGTGCGTGTCCAGGAAGACCCTGTACACGGCCAGCTCGTCCGCGCTGCAGGTGGACGCCGCGCTGCCGCCGGGCACCAGGACCACGACGGCCGCCAGGGCCGCCAGCAAGCACGTCGGCACCGCGGCCTGCGACATCTCCACCAGCTTCACGCACTGCCTCGCGGACTGCTTCACGCACTGCTTCGCGGCGGGCGGCGCTCGCTCGGCCTTCTCCGCGAATGTCGACTCGAGCCGCGATCTGCCGCCAAACGCCTCGCCTCCCCACGTGCAGCGTGCTGCGTGCTGGCTTGGGGTCTCACCGACTGGGAGGAGGCCGGCCCGGCCGGCCAGACGCGTCGCGGTTGCGCGTGGTCGTGCGTGGCGCGGCGGGCGGGCGGGGCGGGGCGGGGCGGGCGGGGCGGGGCGGGGCGGGGCGGGGGGGGCGGGGCGGGGTGGGGCGGGGCGGGGCGGACGACGGGGCTCCCCTCCCTGCCCCCTTACGCGTGTTATGCCGCGCCGCGTAAAGGTAGGCAATATGCGCTGTGTTTGTTTGACCCTTCAGTAAAGTCCACTTCTGTGACACGAGCAGGGGGGCACCACTCGGCCAGACTGTTGCCGTTGGCAGCTTGGCCGGCCAGCCAGCCCTCTTGCAAATTAAAAGTTCCCTAACCACCGCGACAATGTCCACGAGATGTCTCGCGTGTTGCTCTCTCTCTCTCTCTCTCTCTCTCTCTCTCTCTCTCTCTCTCTCTCTCTCTCTCTCTCTCTCTCTCTCTCTCTCTCTCTCTCTCTTTTCCCCCCGGTCGTCGCCATCCCCGTCATCGCCTTCTGCTACCTCCCGCGAGTACGCCACTCCACTCGACGCCTCGACGGGGAATTCCTCGCAGAAATGCGAATGCGGCGGACGCACGGAGGGGAGGTATGTTTAGTCTGGCCGCAGACAGAGTGGAGGGCGACGCCGGTCTGTCCCTCTCGCCCGCCGTCGCGACGCCCCTTGAGAGCGAGAGGGAGAGGCTGGCCGCCGTAACGACGCGCGCTGAGGGATTGTGTCGTCGGCGCGTCAGGTGCGCCCGGCCGGCCGCGGACGGGGCGGCGGGCGCGATGCGCGATGCGCCCCGAAAAGCCCGCCATAAAACGGAGACGCGAGGGGATTTGAACCCGCGACCGAGAGGGCGGACGCCGCCGGGCCAGTCTGTAAACCAGCCGAGCGGACAGTTTGACTGCTCGAAACGCGGTCTTCTTTGTCCCGCTAACATTCATTTCGGGCTGGCATGGCAGGCCGGCTGGTAGTTTGACTTTGTTTTATGCCCACTTGCATGACGCGCTCGATGACGCGTGTTTGGTCCGGGAGAATTCCCTCACTGTCTTACCGCGGGCTGGTCGTGGGAGTGACAGAGACAGCAGCTGCAGCGGGCCCCCGCGGAGAGGGTCAGAGAGGACGGCCCCGGCCGCTGCCGTGCCCTGGTTCGCCACGCGGACACGACGGCACCGTTTGACCCTTCGGACACATGGCCGGCATGGCGTCGTGGCCGAAAACGGGCTGCCCACCGATCGCTAGCGGAGCTCCGTCGGTCTGTCTCGGTCGCACTCATGGGGCGCCCCGTGGGGGTGCGAGAGAGACGCGACCGGCCGACGCCAACCTCACGGGGGCGCCCGGGCGCCCGTTGAGCCGTGCTTGTCTCGGCTTGTCCGTGCCCGTTCCACGCCGTTCCAGGCGTAAGGGTCCCGCGCGGCCCGGCGGTCAGGCTTTGCTTGGCCTGGCTAGGCCCACACTCCAGTTGCGTGGGCGCGCTGCAGACGACATGGCCCGGCCAAACTGACCCGCCGAACACACCGTTAGGGAAATAAGGAAACCCGGCGACTCCGTCCACGCCGTCCCGCCAATTTGACGAGGCGGGTGACGTCACCGCATCACCGTGTCACCGCCTGCCGACGCTGTGACAGTGCCGACAGCGAGACTGTGGGAAAAAGAGCGCAAGCGGCGTTCGAATCGCCGTCGAGCTGCCGCGTGCGTTAACTAAAAACAGGACTTTTTTTGGAAAAATAATTCCTTTGCTTTTATGATTGAAAAAAGTAATTGTAAAAAGAGTTTTGGATTTATTTTTATTTTTACTGTTGGTAATTGTTAAGAGTACGCATTGAGTACCAATTGAGTTGACTGGCCCGCGCGATGCGCGTGCAGACCACTGTAAAGGCGGGCGTCGACTCGATAGACTCGACACCGCACGCGCCGCGCCGCCCCGTCCGGGGGCTGTCTTCCCTGACCTTGGTCTAGCTCTGCAGCAGCCCGATTCCGCACTGTGCCTCGTCGCGCCGTCTCTCTCGCACCCCGCTGGAAAGCCCAACGAGTGCGAGAGAGACAAGCCGACGGGATCACTGTTCGGACTCGGCCTGCCTGCTCTGCTGGCTCTGCTAGCGATCACGGCACACTACAATGGCGCTGGCATATCAACACTGTTCTGTGAGTCACGCGGCCCGCCGACTGCAGACTGATTCCGAGAGTCGCCTTCGTCGCTCTGTCTGTCTCGCACATACGAGGACGTCGCATGGGTGCGGGAGGGACGGAGCGACGAAAACGACTCTCGGAACCAGTGTGCTGGTCGACGCACACGCCACACGCCCGATTGGAGGAGTACAGGAGTACAGAGAACAGGCCGCTGGACCGCGTCCAACACTGCGCGACGCCGACCGCGACGTCGCGCTGCTTAGCGCTGCCTCGCGCGCCTACCTGTCCGCCCTGCTGCACTGCCCGGCCGGCCGGCCTGTCCAGTGTCCACCCACCCAGATGCAGCTGCGTGGCTTACTCTCGAAAAGGCGCGACGCGGCGGGGCGGCGCGCGGCGAGGCGCGGCGTACACGCCTAACAACGCCGTTCACGCGCGGTTTACAGCTGTTGCTTCGCGCTGCCTCTCTCGCAACCGTATGGGCCACCCCATGAGTGTGAGACAGATAGAGCTGAGAAAGGACTGTCCTGGATCAGCATGCCCATCCGGCTCACTGCTGTGACTACTGTCATTTCGATGCTCAAACGATTTTGGTGGTTGTCTCTTGTTTTAATTTGCGCGCGCGCGACTGGTGAATGGAGTTCCCGAGAAGTGACTTTGTTTTCCGCGGGCGTGGCGGCGGGCGGCAGCAGGGCGTGTAGTGTAGTGCCGTGATAGCGCGGCGGCGCGTGGCGGCGCGTCGCGGCAAGGCCACCAGGGCCACCAGGGCCACCAGGACGGCGACGAGACGAGGGACTCCGTGAGACCGTCCGCGGCGGAACCAGTACCCCGGGCGGGACCCTCGCCGCGACCCGCCCCCGTGCTGCCTGGCCTGCCGGGCCAGCTAAGCCGCCCCACAATGGCCAGTGGCCACCAGGGGCCGCCTCTAGAGCGAGCGGCGGGTGTGTCCCAAAAGGAAGGCTCATCCGTCCACGCGGACGGATGAAAAATCCAGCAGTCACACATTAACTTTGGCAAAAATCCGTAGCGACAGGGACAGGGGGTCTTTCCTGTTTCGCCACCGCCGCCGAAGTGTCTGCTGCTTACTCTGCTGCCCCCAGCCTCGCCCCCCTTAGCCCACCACCCCTTCTTGGCACGGCGCTCCCATATAACGCGGTCTCTGACCCGACGATAAACTCGGTGGGCTCTCTAACGCTTTATTGTTGCCAAGCGCTGAATTTTTCGACTTTTTTTCAAAGGAGGGTACAAAGGAGATTGTGATTGCCTTGTTGGTGACTGCGGCGCCCGTTTCGGTGCATTCCTCGTGACGTATTGGAGAGGCGTGTGTTTCGGACAGAAAGGGGACAGAAAGTCATGACAGCAGTTTTGTTAAGTAAAATCGTTGCTTGCAGCATACAATGTAAAAAGTAAATGCATCAAGGTACATTATGTGGCACTCAGTGCCGTGTGCAACAAAGCATTGGCCCGTTCGGCAAGTCACTGTCTCGGGCCTTTGCTTCTTTTAGCACAACTAATTGGTAAACAGCCTAACTCCCTCTTTGCTTATCCTCCCGCAGCGGTCAGTTTGACGCCCTTCTGACATCACCACCAGGACAGTGGGCCAGAACACCGGTGGAGGCGGTCAAAATTCCGGACGCGTTTTGAGGGTTTTGAGCTTCAGAGCCGCTAAAATGGGACTCTTACAGAAAGTGTGACCCCACCAATGGATTGCTCTCCGCACGCGGTATCTATTGGTGGAGTCACATGGTCGGCTCAAGTCTTGGCTAGAGACTCTGGAGCTCAAAACGCCTCTAGAGTTTTGATCGCCTGCGCCGGCCTTCTGGCCCACTGTGCCACGTCCCAGTCGTACCGCTCAGGCGGCGGGGCCGGCGTCGTCCGCGCTCAGGCACACGGTGAGCTTGACGAGGGCCGAGTCCTGGCGGATGTAGCTGCGGGTGCGCAGCAGGGACTGCGGGAAGCCCAGCCCCACGCACTCGTAGTTGTCCGGCGTGTGCGCGCTGGGCCGCTGCCAGTTGTAGCCCGAGCAGAGCTGCGCCGGGTCCCAGAGGCGCGACACCAGGTCCACGGGGCCGGAGCCGGGGCCCGTGGACGTCATGGAGGCCACCTGCGAGGACAGACAGTCGTGGTAGGGGGAACAAGAGGCCAGCCCGCGGGGCCGCAGACTGATCCTGAGAGTCGTTTCGATCGCTCTATCTCTCTCGCAGTCATGGGGCGTTCCGCACCGAGTTCCGCACAGGTGCGAGAGAGACAGAGCGACGAACACGACTCTCGGAATCAGTCTGCTAAGAGCAGTGGACGCCTGCGCGCGGCTTGTGGTCTAGCCCTTAATGGTAATGGTCATGGGGTAGGCCAGCCCGCACGGCTCGCCTGCACGGCCCGGCCAGGCTGGCCGGGCGCTCCGCTCCACCGCACCCCGCTGCTGCTTCGCTTACCTGGTCCAGCACGGCGAGGCGGTGCTTGAGCCTGAAGGGCCACTGCAGCGACGCGTCGTGCTCGCCGCGCGTCAGCCCCACGTGGAAGTACACGTTCTCGCCCGACTGCCGCGGGTACATGCGCAGGTACATGCGGTACCTGCGGACCGCGTTTCGAAATCAGTCCCGGAGCACTGCAGACTGATTCAGAGAGTCGTATTCGTCGCTCTATCTCTCTCGCACATATACGGCACGCTCCATAAGTGAGAGAGAGAGGGACAGAGCGACGTAAACGACCCTCGGAATCAGTCGGCTGGGCGCTTAGTGCTTGAGCATCGCCTAGAGAGTCGGGGAGGCAGAGAGGTGCGGAAGCTCACCCTCCGGGCCAGACGTAGAAGCTGGGGCTGCGCAGGGAGCGGCGGTGGTTCCAGCCGGTCATCTTGTAGTCCATGTTGCGCACCCGCCAGAAGTACGTGTAGACGCGCTGGCCGTGGCCGCAGCCCGCCACCGTGTTGCCCATGGCCGAGCCGTGCGGGTGGAGGCCCTCCGGGGCGTGCTCCGTGTGCACCTGCAGCGGCAAGGGGCAGCGCCGTGACACTCGAAAACGCAAACACGACGGACTCTAACTTCTGGTGTCCGGTGCCGCCACAGTGCCGCGCCACGCACCGTGTTGTTGTAGCGCTGCACCTCCTCCTCCCGGCCCCCGGGCCCCTGCGCGCCGTCGCGGTAGGTGGTGACCAGGGCGGGGTTGTCGCCGTAGTCCCCGACGTCGTCGTCGTCCTCATCCGCACCGCCGGGAGGCAGGGCGTCGTCCTCGGCGTCGGCTGCGAGATCATCCTCGGACCTACGCAGGGGAAAATGACTCTGTTGTGCACCGCCGCACAGTGGGCCAGAGAAGACCGACGGCCAAGGCTCTGAACGCCGTTTGAGCTGCAGAGGCGCTAAACAGGACTCGAACCGAGCGTGTGACCCCACCAATGGATTCCTCGTTCGGAGAGCAATCCATTGGTGGGGTCACACGTTTGGTTCGAATCCCATTCAGCGACTCTAGGGCTCCTAACCCGTCCGGGATTTTGACAGCCTCCACCTGTCTTCTGGCCCACTGTGCGCCGCCGCCGTGACGCCATTCCAAAATGTGAACATGCTCACTCGGGTCCGCCGCGCGTGCACCGGGACTTGGCGACGGCGGCCAGCAGCCGCCTCTCCGCGCGCTCGATGCCGATGTCCATGGCGCCCACCTTGTCCTCCAGGTTGAGGATCATGGTCTTGAGCACGTTCAGCTGGTCGCCGAGCTGGGTGCCCAGGTTGTGGAACTGGTCGTTCGTCTCCTCTTCAAGAAAGTGCCACAGAAAAGTCGCAGGCGGTAAAACAGACTTGTTTACATTTTTTGACAGTGGCGTATCAAGAGAGATAGAATGGAACGGCGCGCAATGCACGCGTTGTATTGGCCGCCGTTCACCGTTGGCGGGGCGTTTGCCAGGGAATTGGATCCAGCTTCCCGCCAAGGCGCCAAGGCGCGCAGCGCGCAGGTGTGAGGTCATCGCAGTCGAGTCGGACAGTGGACAGCTCGGCCCAGCCCCACTTTCACTGCCAGTGTAGGCGACCGCCGCGAACGCAGAGGCCGTACAAGGGCTAATTTGACATCAGGCGATCGTGGCCCCCATGCCATTGCCACAGCACCGCCACCGTCTCGCAGCCAGAAAGGAAACGGCCAAAGGACGACACACAGTGGGCCAGAAGACCGGTGGAGGCGGACAAAAATCTAGACGCGTTTTGAGTTCCAGAGTCGCTAAATGGGACTCGAACCGAACGTGCGATCCCACCAATGGATTGCTCTCCGAAAGAGGAATCCATCGGTGGGGTCACACGTTCGTTTCGAGGTCCGTTTAGAGACTCTGAAGCTCAAAACGCGTCGAGAGTTTTGTCCGCCTCCAACGGTCTTCTGGCCCACTGTGCAACGCCACTTTGGTGGCAGAAAAATTCAGACATTGCAACGATAATATGTAAATCTAGCTGACATTTACGTCCGATTGAATCGTGTCGAAATGGAAATGTCGACGAAAATACGGCCAGCGGCATCCCTCCCACACTGCTAGGCATCTCGCCCGGGTCACTGATCAATATCCGTGTTTATGACTGCCTTCTGACTTCCCCTGGCAGTGCGCAGTGCACCCGGACTGGAGTGCCGCTTCCGTGCGCTCTTTATGAGTCCTGGTGTGCCGGTGGACCGGCACTGCAAGCGTCGCGGACACGACCATCAGAAAACAACAGAGACGAGGAGAGCTGCGGCGAGTGTTGCCGACTCCGTCTCCTCCCACTACTTTGTGTGCCGGCTGCCACGCCGCCCGGCGCGTGGGCCGAACAACGTGTTGGGCCTGAGTGTGTGCGTGTGCGAGTGTTAGTCAGCATATCTGCGAGTGCCGCTGTGCCGCTTGCCGCGCCGCTCGGCTCGAGATACAGTGTACTCACTCTGGCTGCAAACCCCTTCCAGACTCTTCGTCATGAGCGCCGCCACTTGCTCGGGGTTCAGCTGACAGCTTCCGCCCCCGGTGTGCCCGTCCCCGGCGTGCCGCCCCTCGTAGAGCCGGGGCGCCTCGGCCGACGGCGCGGCCGGCTGCTGCTGCAGGCCGTCGCCGGCGTGGGTGGACGGCCCGGGGTGGCGGCTGGACAGCCGCGGGTCCCCGTAGTGGTGCTGGTGCCGCAGGTGCTGTGGGGAGAGGGAGGCGAGGTTCCGTCCCGCATCATCGACCATTCATCACCAGCTTCATTCATCCCTGCAGCACTTGGATTCAGAACGTCGTCGCTCCGTCTCTCTCGCACTCGTGCGTGGGGCGTCTGGTGCGAGAGAGACAGTGTGGGACGTTACTCACGTGCGGGCCGTACTGCTGCTGCCGCCGCGCGATGGCGTCCCGCTCCTGCGCCGGGCCTATCAGAGGGCCGAGCACGGGCGGTCCCTCCGCCGCCACCCCCGCGGCCAGCGCCCCCCACGGGGACCCCCACGGGGCCCCACTCGACAACACGCACACCAGCAGCACGGGCAGCATGGTCACGCCGACGCCAAGCCTCGCTGACCAACTCGCGGCGCCCCGACGCCTCAACTGGGCTTAAGTTGTCCCTACTGCCGCCGGCGGGCTTAGGCCCTGTGCCGCCCTGTGCCTGTGCGCCGCCCGGCCCGGCTCCACGTGTGTACCGCCACTCGAAATAGAAGAGGAAGAGGGCTCCACCCACCGCGACACGCCCCTGCATCCGCGGCCCCGCCCCGCCCCGCCTGCTGGCACCTGGCCAAGTGCACTGTGGGAAAACGAGCAGCTTCGCTGTCAACACGATGCCCGTCGTCGTTGGAGCCGAAGCCGGCCGAAGCCGACCCCTCCTCTGTCCGGCACACCAAGCAGACACTTCAGTTAAGAGTACAGGAAAATGAGAACAAGCAAAGTCTCAGTTTTGAAAATTCAACAGTCTTTATTAATTACTCAACATTACTTAAAAACTTATTTACACTCAGCACATTTGTAACAGACAATCTTGCTTTAAGTACTCTACAAAATAGTATTTGTGCTGTTACAAGGGAGATGCTACACCATGACTAACTTTGTCCAAGAAAATGATAGAAAGGTTAGACAAAAAAAAAAAAAAGGGATACAGTCATTAGCGAATCCAGTAAGATTGAAAGAAATAATAACAATAACGAATCTGGAATGATAACAATACAACATAGGAAATAAATTGGTCATTAATATTATTTGAATCTATCAAATTTATACACTATCACAAAGTTGTAACGAAAGAATTAAAGAGGACATTTTAATTATACCCTGCATTTTCACAGCTTACTATAGGGTGAAAAATGGGAGGGACAAAGTATAGGTGACTCACCGATACAACATCAATAACATCAAGAAAGCATTTAAATGTGATGAAAAGGGATCCTGACAAAAATAAAAGACAATCATTTTCCCCAGGACCATAGAAATTTATGGTATTTGGGTAAAAAAATTTGCAAAGATTGTTATTGGCAAGAAATAATAGACAGGATTTGACTTTGGTGAAAGTGGAAGTGAGTCAATGAACACATGAGAAAATACAAATATAATTGATGAAAAGGAGATGCTAGAGAAATCTAGACTTTGCAGCAAACAATTTCAGGGTGCTCTCTTACAGACTTGTGCTAATTTATCACTACATATCACAGAGGGAACGAAAGGGATAGATGAACTATTGCCTTTCTATTAACACACATAAACACAAGATTATAAAAAATATTCAAAATACGTCTAGAATAACAACAAGACACCAACAATGACCTTCCAAAAACTGAAAACTGCCCATCTTGGAAAAAGAAAGATTCTTAAAAAAAGATAAAAAGGGAAAAATTGACAGGTGTGGCATGTTTGCAACCATTCGAACAACACAAAATGTGACAGATTCATCAGTACTCACAAAATGACATAAGGCAGGCACAATAGCCATGCAAGCATTTTTAAATAATAAGATACAAAAGTTAAGATCTTGATGAAGAATAACATTAAAAGTTTAATATTCCAGCAATAATCTATAGACGTCATAAGGTGCAGATGACCACATAGCAGATTAACTTCAGCACATTTTCCCCCGTCAAAAATTGAAAATGACCAACAAGGATAGCCTTGGCCCACTAGCCACTTGAGAGGATAAAACAAAAGCAAACCAAGTTAGAACTTTTACATTACTGACAGGACATGACCTAACTGATATTTTACAATGGGCAAAGAGTACCGAAAATAACAAAAATATTATTAAAAAGTCTGTAACATGAAGTTTCCATTTGCAAAATTTACACTTTCATATCTGTAAAGTTTTAAAAAGTCAGCCAAAAGAAGGGAAAGAGGACACACTGTATGTCTTGACAAATGTAATAATATTGATTTTAAAAAAGCACTATATATGTACATTTTTGCAGTAACCTCGTTAGATAAAATTTTTGTAACAATGCACACACACTTCCCTTACAAGTCTTAACATTAACTTTTTTTTCACATTGACACTCACACACTGCACAAATAGAACACAGTTCCTCACTTGTAGGAAGAATCACAGATAAACGTATGAAGAAGAGTTCTTCATATTAAATAGTTAAAAGAAGAAGAAATTTTTGTGGAGAAATCTTTGGGCCAAAAATGGAAGACCACAACACTAATTCTTCATACCAGGGTGCTGGATAATGATTGAAAGTAATAATCTATAAGCTGATATTTAGAATCAGAAGCAATGATGTTCCAGAAATGTAACCCATCGCTTTGTAAAGTAGAAGCCTGCATACAAGCTCTTTCTTCAATGTGAAGAAAGGTTTCAAGTAACAGTATTGACACAGAATTGAGGAAGTTTATGCGAAATGGCAGTCACTTTGCTACAAAGAAGGAATAAACACGCATGGTAAATTGTAGGATCTAAACACAAAGTTAAGAGAAACAAAACAAAAGATGGAATTTGAAGATCAGTTTTGCTCACTTAAGTCTACTCAACTATATGGCACCCTGTTTAGTACTAGACAAGACTAGTTGAAACTAAATATTAAGAAGAAAAGTGGTAAAATGACCATTATTACAATGGATAAAGTGAAAGACGTCATAGGTAAGGAAAAATACCAGAAGGGAACACTTTAAGTGGTTGGCGTATGCATGGCGCTTAGAAGTGATTTGAAACATGGGTATGAGGCAATAGATTGCCGTTTGAAGCAACACTTGCACTGAATAAAAAAGTAGCAGTAAGTCTTAGGATGCAAAGAATAAGTTGAGCAGATCTTAAAAAAAAAAAAAAAAAAAAAAAAAAAAGGGACATTAAAAGGTGCAGATGTACACATCAATTAGAAACAAAAAGAACTACTCCTGGAACTCCCCATGATAATCACAGATGACATAATGGCTATGCCTTTATCAACACATGGACATTATACACACTCAAAATACATTAAAAGTACTAAAGGTGAATCTTTTTCAACAATTTTTTTCTAAATCTAGTAATAAAGCTAAACTGTCATACATGAGATAAGCTCACGGCACAATTCACTATACTGATGGTGGTCTCCTGAAATACGTCTCATTTTGAGTTCTCCCTTACAGACCCTGAGTTCAATTTGTACACCACTAGGATACTCCAAGGCAAGGCCATTATCCCCACAGCCTCCAACTACAAAATCTCGTGGTTTGCCTCTTTCAATCAAATCCTTCACAATTCCTAGAACATCAGATGTTGCTAACTGTGCACAAGAATTTGAAAGTGTCACCTGGAATGAGCCACTTGCAGTAATCTGCATCAAATCTGAAGCAAATACATTTCTATATGGGGCATGGTGTGAAGAGGTTCGACCATTCTCTAAAGTGTTATTGAGCACATTATTGAAATTCAACATGAAAGGACTATCATCATTGCATATACCACTACTGGGAGGCGGGAATGTACTTCTCAAAGACGCATTTTTTGGCAGAGTAAATGATTCTCTTCTTTCATCCCTAGAGCCAAGAGGACCCTGCTTAAAACTGTAGCTATGGTTGTTTCGTGACTCCTCTACATTAGCCGACAGGTTTTCCTTTGTGTCTTTTGACTCCTCATTGTTATCGTTTGAGCATTGTCCTTTGCCAATGCCCCTAACAATAGAGGGCCTTGAAGGGTCACAAGGAGATACAATAAAAGACGGCAGCATGGGAGCAATTGGAGTGAATGGATTAGATGGTATGTCTTCAGAATCATACATCATATCAAATTGACTTGGTTGGAAACTATGCCCTTGCTCAGCATAAGTAGTTTGCCTCTGGAAGTCAATTTCATCTTCATTATCCAACTCAGCCATTTCAACCTCTGGTGTGTCAGGGTCCATACAGTCAACTGACGACACTGATTCACAAGAAGATACGGATGTTATAAGAGTCACTTGCCCACCCTTTTCATCTGTGACAGAAATTTGGGGGTGGAAGTAATTGCTATTTTGACGACGTCCCCAAGCCCTGCTGCAAGCATCAGTCAGTCCAAGGCCATCATCACTTTCACCATGGTGCACTGGAGCATTAATCTCTTCTCGGATCATACTCAAACTTGGTGATGCTGATGGGGAAACACCATGATGTAAAGGTGAGAGAGTCGGAGACACTCTCAAATCTAGGTGAACAGATGTTGGAGATGAAGTGCCTTGGGTGATAGAACCAGAAGCAGTGGAAAGACCACTTAAACCTGGAATAAGAAAATTAAGTTATAGTTATGCAGACTATGACCAAACCACTCTTTGGTTTCAAGGTATCTCAATTTCATCAATATGTGAGGTCCACCGTTACCTTGTGTGATTGATGTGAGACTGGCTGACGACGAGGCTGGGGAGATGATGGGACCACAGGAGGCTGATGACTGTTGAAGAGAAGATGGCGGCGAGTCCGGCGGACAAGACTGGCTGGACTGGACATGCTGTGGCGATGTTTGATTCTGTTGAGCTTGCTGCTGCTGCAGATGCAGTCGCTGAAGGTGCTGGGTTAATGTTGAGTTATTGCTGTCTGAACGGGAAAGGCGGAAATGACTGGGTGACCCTAAAAGGTTTAAACATAATATTAGTTTCAACGCATTAGACAAATAAATGAATATTGTTATGAGGGCAAGTGGATTAATTTACCAGCAGGGCTTAAGGGAAGTACTGGTGGGCTGGGTGATGGGCTGCTTAAGGGGCTCGAAAATCTCTGCTGCATATGATAAGAGTGCAGCTTTTGCAGTTCTGCTTGAGTGTGTGCATCCCCTGCATCAGCGCTGTGTTTTTGCTGTAAATAAGATAGGCATTACTTTAGTTTACTTAAGGTCTGGATTATAGAATGCATAAGAAAATGGATTCCAAACCAAATATTTACCTGGAGCTGATGATATTCCTGTTGGAGAGAGCGCAGGTTTGATTCGGCACTGTCTCCTGGAGAGCAAGTGCGATGGTAGGACAAGCTGCTTAAAGTTCCTGCCGAACCCTCACTAGCTCTCCGCACAGGGCTATATCTTTCCTGAGGTGGATGCAGCGATGTGACCTCTTTTAAGGTATCCCTCCCTGTAAGCCAAATATTAGTCAAGCATCTCCAAAAAGTGATAAAACTTTTTGATGGCCCTTTGTTTACCCCTGGGAAGTGATGGTCAAGAGTTAATTACTGGTGGTAAAGATGATCAATAATAATTCAAATTTTGAACAAAGCAATTAGAAATAATAGTAATATGTTTCTTGGCCCAATTTACAAGATGACTTAATTTAAAGGGTAGGCTAGTTTGCCCATACCACTGACAAGGAAAATTTATTAGCATGGAACAACCACCAAAATGTAACAGAGGAAAAAGCTGACCATTACATAAAAAGCTTTCAGTGAGAACTAGACTGTGCAAAGATAAAGTGAGATGCAAATATAAAAAGACACACCATGCAGACAGAAAAAGTACATTGACAAGCTAGAAAAGTGCTCTGAACTGTGTTCAAAACAAATGACAAAATGAAACAAATAATAATTGAAATATAAGCCACCCCCCTTAAAGGTTTAACCAGAGTTATCCGACAGTAAGCTCCAATTACAAATTATGTACTGAGATTAAAAGAACTTATACTGTCAATTGTTTATTTTTTCATACTGTGATATAAAACATGTCCCCAACACAAACTTCAATTTGTAAAGGAAGAATGAATGGCAACTTACCGTTCAGGGTTCAAAAGACAATACCATAAGCCCTGACAATTGTTAAGTATGCATGTCTTATTTTCAATCAAGCCTAATTAATATTAGCACTTGTAGTCAAGAAACCTGAGTTTAATATAACAGAAGTCAAGACCATTTACCTATTCTGCTGCCTTCTTGCACCGTGGCTAAGCCAGAGGGAGCCTTTTTAGCCCGAGCATGATGAAATGCTTTTGCTCGGTTGGGCACAAGAGCTGTAGTTGATTTGACTATGGCTGGAGGAACATGAGCGCGCTTCATACGCGCTTCCACCTCCATTATCAGCTCCGGACTAATAACTGCAGGTAGATGGATCATGCGTAGAAGTGCGAGTGAGCAACACAAAGTGTAGACCGAAATGCAAACCAGGCACAAACCAAACATAAAAAAAGAGAGAAAACAAAACAAAAATTAATCCAAGCAATGATAAGATATAAAAAGCTACTCTTACAGAAAGGCTCCTGATATTGTGAAAATAAAGGACACTATTAAAGCTGAACTTAACAAAGGCAAATATTAGCTGGAGATCAGAACAAAACAAGCATTAAACGAAACAAACATATGGCTGACATAATATGTTATATACTGTAAATCAAGAGCCTCCCACACAACATTACAAGGCTGTGCAGTTTAATGGGGACAAAAATTGACCACTTGGACAAAAAGAACAAATAACTGCAGCACACAGCACTTGTCAAACCCCAACAGAATGAAGCAACTCTTTAGTGCAGAGGATTTGACGTGAAGCATAAATTGCAGCAGGTCTTCTGCTGGTGCTTGTAGCGGCTCATCCCACCACCAATTTGATTTCCAAAGCACTCGTCAAACCAACATAAATGGCATCTCACTGGGAATGTAGACAAAATTAATATTTAAAATATCACACAAAAGCACACACTACAGGCTATATATACCCAAGTATACACAAGTCATATTAAAATCAATTTTGGAAATAATTCTCCAGTCATGAAGATTCAACAGTAAGTGTGTCATTTATGACATACACCAGGTGCTAAATGAGTCCCCGTTTCCCCAAGATGAACAAGAAAATATATACAGCATTGCAGTACCAAATGTCAACCAGTAGTCCTTATTCCTACCCCGATGAAACATGGGAAACCAATGTAACTGCATTACATTTGTTTGTTTTTTCTTGCAATGAGACTACATCAACACTCACAATGAGATATATACAGTGAAACATTAATCTCATTAATTAAAAAAACAACAAACAATTAGAAAAAAATATGAAAAAAAACTTAGTGAAAACAAAACTTATCATGCGTTTATCATGCTCTAAATGCACTCTACTCAAAATTTCAAATTAAAATTACTAATGTTTATACTGGGGTGAAGTTAACTTTTAAGTGCATTTTGATCTAAAACAAGTTAACATTACAAAACAAAGGACTGTAAGTACATCTCAAAGGTGAGGAGACAAGGTTTACCTGGCCTATCCATTGTCACAGCATGAAGACCCGTTCTTCTTGTTCTCATGGGCGCTTGGGATGATGATAGTTGCTGTTGAACAGGATGATGCATTAAGTGCTGCTGTTGCAGCTGCTGTTGCTGTTGAACCATCTTTCGCTGGGCCTCCTGAGCCTCCTCTGGACTTGCCATAGTGTGTCTTTTTGTGGAACCTCTAGTTTGCATATACCTGACACAAGATAATTAATTCACATGTGAAACAAGATGATCATTTAATACCGATAGTGAAACAGATTGCATAAAATCTTACTTTAAAACAGCACTGTCATGTGGCAGTTCTTCCATTGATGCTGCATCAGGCAGTTGCACAAGCCCAGCAAGAACTCCTGGAACTCCGGCCAAAGTCAGTTCACCTGAACCACTGATGGTAGGTATGGATGCTGTGAGTGGTTGTGAACCCTGTGAATGGGGAGGACTGCATTCTGATGGCACCTAGAAAGGAACATTCTTCATTCAGAACTTCAACCATGCTACATTAAAATCATGTTCACAAAAAGAGTTAGCATGCGTTCTTACAAGTTGGATTTGCTCTTGGCTTCCAGGCTGACTCCAGCCTTCAAAAAACATTTGAAGATTTGCACCGCCATCAGAAGCTCTTCGGCCAAATCCTCCCACTGTAGAATAGATAATGAAACGTAATTTACACTCAATACTAATTAAATTAATCTGGTATAAAATCGCAGTCTATAGTTATTTATAACTTACTTGCACCCATTACAGGAGGTGGTTTTAACAAATGCTGATCCTTAAAAGTGAAGTTTTGAGGAGGCTGGTTTTTGACTAAAGGTAAATTTAAAGGCAGGTTTGTGTTGGGCAAAATGCTGAATGGAGGTCTTCCTGTCTGAAGACCCTCCATTCTATAACATGGCAATATGTAATGGGCATCCAGGACTTGCTCATGGGCCGTGTCACCTGGCCCCACAGTGTGTCTTCGAGTGGCGTGATACTTGTCTCCGCTGCTTGAACTTCCACCACTTCCCCTGCGAAGCGAATTTTGAAGATAGGGGAGGTGATGTTCTTGGTCTTGGTCCGCCTCAGGTAGACTGTCTGTATCACCAAACTGCAATAGGAGAAAACTTATCTTAAAGCTGTTTTAATAAAAGTGAGTAGTACTTGAATGTCTGAGACCATACCGTTTCCACTAATTGAGAGTTTGAGAAGGTACATTCATCGGGGTTTATGGGCATAGACATTAGAGGGGAGTTTGTTGGTGCAAATGGCTCAAACTCGCTCAATGGGCTACGATCAACAATTCCTGAAGCAACACAAAAGAGGCCATACATGCCAGTTATATTTAATTTTTCAGTTAGAGGAAATACAGCAAAACAACTTCACCATACCTGTTGTAATGCTAGCTTTGCGCTGCATTAGGCCTACTGGTCTTGATACTCCACCCTGAGATCGTTGTTCCAATTTATCCACAAGAAGGTGGTAAATTGCACTAATATGATCAAACCTCCTTTCTTGGATAGACTGAAGTATCATTTCACTTGTTAAGCCTGGTAGTTGCAGCATGTGCTCCATCACAAGTTTGTTAAGTGGTTCGGGTTCGGGATCTAGATCTACAATGGGCTCACAAGGAGGCACACTGGGAGGATGACCCTGACGAGACAAGGTCCATTCATTAGTCATGGACCAAAATGACAAAATGGCAGAACGCCAAGACACAAAGCAAAAGCATCACAGTTTGACAAAATGAATCAATAGTCCTTACCTCTGTCATCCATTTATGTCTAAGTATTTGTCTTATGCTGTATCTTCTTTCAGGTTCCAACACCAACATATTTCGTATAAGATTTTCACAATCTGAAATAAAGTTTTCAAATATTAAAATTTACAGTGTGAAAAAAAGTGTGATATACAGTGTGATAAAATGACTACACTGAATAGGACCACTCAGTCTTGTGACATACCCATACTCATGAAGAATGGTATCCTAAACATTCCCGAAATGACAGTTTCTCTTAGGGCTTGCAACGTGTGACCATCGAAAGGAAGAGTACCACAAACTAACACATACAGCACGACACCAAGGCTCTGTAAATATTGAGATTTTGTATTTCACATCTGCTTGTTACATGGCATCATCTTGACTGACCTCAAGCCACAAAGGTCGTCACAAAATGTTCACTCACCCAAATATCAGCTTTGGGCCCGTCATACTCTCGCCCTTCAAAAAGTTCCGGGGCAGCATATGGAGGACTCCCACACCATGTAGACATTAGTTGTCCTTCTATGAAATGGTTACTAAAACCAAAGTCTGGAAGAACAACAATAATAAGAACTTCATGACTCTCACGTCATGTCTCAAAAACACAATCGAATTCAGCTCATAAACGCACCTGCTAGTTTTATGTCCATTTTGGAATCTAAAAGAAGGTTTTCTGCTTTTAAATCTCTATGAACTACATTGTGAGAATGACAATAATTGACAGCTTCTACAATTTGATGGAATATTCTCCTTGCCTCAGTTTCATCCATTTTACCCTGCCCCACTAGATAATCTAAAAAGAAAAACCAGCAAACATTAGAGTTTGGAACCAGTGACAAAGAAAGAGACACACTAATTAAAGCACTTGTGATAAACATACCGAATATTTCGCCCCCTCGTGCATATTCAGTTACAAGATATATCATTTTTTCAGTCTCCATAACCTGAGGAAAATTGAGCCATTAAAATTATTGTGCATAGCAATAAAATGAATTTTCTGCTGTGCTTTACTAAGCTGCGGAAGCTCACCTGATACAGTCTTATGATGTGGGGATGCCGTAGTTTTGTCATAATTTGAATTTCTCTAGATATTTTCTTACGATTTTCTTCATCTAATTTGGTTTTGTCTATTATTTTAATAGCAACCTGTAAAGATGAAAAGATAAAAATTAGAGCAAATCAAAGTAAATACAGACAGTTCTGCAAACCAACCCCTATCAGAAAAAAATACTGTTCAGGGGGGAAAAACAAGAAAACCACTGAGGTACCATGGTGTCCACAGAAAACATAAAAACAACATCAACAAAAGACAGAAATAACTGCGTCTGCCGACAGCAAGAGGCACCAGCCTGCAGTGCCGGGGCCGACCGACCAATCCGATACTCGATTGCCAATGCGATGCAGGCCAATGCAACCCGCACGGTACGCTGTCTGGACAGTGAGGCAGTACACATCGGTGGCATTGAATATATGCCTTCACAACAAGGCAGACGGGAAGGGAGGGGGAGGAGGGGGGGGAGGGGGAAGGACGAAGAGAGGAGGGGATTACGGAAGCAAGGCCCCCGATACGTGATGCCTCCGAGCTCGGGCAAGCACGGGGCCGATGGCCGCGACTAGCTGCACCTCCGCCTCGGTCGAAACAACGATCAATTCGGGGGAAATCAACGCAAAAGACGAAAACGACACAATCTCGCAAACGGATCGCTTGCTGTGACAAGGCAGGCAGCCGGGTGGGGAATGACCAGCAATGACTCAAACTTGGTCAAGATTTTCCAATCAGGCAAGACGGAAAGCCCGGCCAATGGGGAGGGGAGGAGGGGAAAGGGAGGGGGCAGATAGAGAGCGGACTGGCAGACGAGCGGCTCGAGGATGGCTGAAGGAGGAGGAGAGGGAGAGAGAGAGACGGGGAATGTCGCGAGGCTGGCAGAGAAAAGAGAGAGAATCTGCGCGGTGCAGCAGACTCAACAGGCGGACAGTCGTCCACCCGGCGTTCGCCGCCCTATCCCGTTCGTTGGTGTCACCAGTGCTGCGGAGCGCCCCGCCCCGCCCCGCCCCGCCCCGCCCCGCCCCACCTTCGCGAGAGATAAGGCGACAAGTGCGGTGCACGGTGCATCGCACCCATCGCGCACCGCAGTGTACATACAGCCCCACGCGGTGCACGGGGTGTACGCCCCACCCCCTCCACGAGTAACCTAACAGGGGAAGGGGCTGCCGACCCCCCTCCAGTCCTCACAATGCGTTTGCAAGGTTACGCCAGCCCGCGCGCGCGCGCAGAGAAGGCCCAAAGCGGGCACATTTCCCCGAATTTCACCCGCGCGAATGTAATCAGTCCTGTCCTGTCCAATCATCCCACAGGTCTGTCATCTTGCCGCCAAACCGAATGGTGCAGTGATGTGGTGTGGTGAGAGAGGTCAGCAGACTGATTCCGAGAGGGGCGTCGCTCTGCCTTAGTCTCTCTCTCTCGCACTCACGGCATGGGCGCTCCGTACCGGTGCGAGAGAGATAGACCGACGGCCACACGGCGCGGAACGAGTCTCTAAGGCCGGGCGAGTCCGGCCGTCCGTCCACGCGGCAGGCACCGGTTCGAGCCCCGCCGCCGCCACGCACTTTTCCCTTTCGCTCCAGCGCGAGGCAGACACTCCGAGTGCGTCGCTCCGATGGCCGACAGCACCGACAGATCGGCACCAGGATGTGGGGGGAGGGGGGGGGGACGTCCTTGCCGGCCAGACAAGGGCACTCGGCGCGGCCACCTCGCCGGCCACCGGCACCACTCTTTCTCGGGCGCCGCCGCCGCCGCCGCGAGGAGGAAGAGGCCGCTGCCGCCGCCACCGCGGCGCGGCTCGTCGCGTCGCGCGTCCAGCCAGCGGCCCAGCGGCCAGGATCGTTGACCAGCCCGGCCCGGCCGAGTGGACGGCGGCACGGCGGCACGGCGACCATGGCGGCGACGCGACCGCCGCGGCGCGCGGCAAGCATGCGGGATGTCCGGGACGTCCGCGTGCCCGTCCGGGCAAGCCGTCCGGGCGAGCCGTCCGGGCAGGGACATCAGGCAGAGGCACTCGACGACGCGGAGCGCGGTGCGGCATCTCGCCAAGCGCGGCCGGGCCGCCGTCAAAACAAAAGCATGAGCCGCGCAGTCGCCCAGCCGGAAGCACTCCCACTACACTCCAAATTTGGCGTGCCCCCACACCGGGCGCCTTTGTCGCCTGGCCTAGTTTCTGGGCTCCTTTGTCGCCTAGTCAAATCATCCCCCAACCATAGTACAGCAGAGGGCGACCAAGCTGCCCAGATTCTGGGCACCTCAGGCGCTGCCGAGCCATGGGTGAAGGAGGCAAGTTGTAGTCTCCCACAGTTTTGGACCCTTTCCGACCATGTTTCCGATCCTTTCGGGGAAAACGCGCGAGCCAGAGAGATAATGGAGATAAAAATTCGTACAGCTGTTTGTCCGACTTGGAAATAAGCAGTCTCACCCTGACGACTCGACCGACTCTTCGCCGTACGAGGCCGTTTCGCTATTTCACGTTTTTCGTGACTGTATCGCCGTGCTTCTGGGAAGCCCTCTGCGTTTGCATAGCGGGGCTGCTCGGCGACCAGGGCCGTTTCGTCGCTCTGTCTCTGTCGCTCTTGAGCGGCATCGCGTGGGGTGCGAGAGAGAGACTGCCTGCTGCACACTGCTGCCGCTCGCCTTCGCTGGTCGTCTAGACGAAACGCAGACCGGTGGAGGTGGTAAAATCCCCGGACGCGTTTTGAGCTTCAGTGCGGGACTCGAACCGAACGTGCGACCCCACGAATGGATTGCTCTCCGAACGAGGAATCCATTGGTGGGGTCAAACGTTCGGTTCGAGTCCTGTTCAGCGATTCTGGAGCTCAAAACGCTTCCAGAGTTTGGGTCTATTCCGGCCCACTGTGCAACACCCGCCGCTTTGCCTTGCACGCCGCCCTCAAGGCGCCCAGCCGTTTTGGGACATGGACGGGCCTTCGTCCTGGCTCGGCCAGGCTTTCGGCTCGGTCCCGCGGTGGAGCGGAAAGTTTGGGATGCAGAGGCTTGCCTCGCCTGCAAAGCGACACGCCAAGGCCCTCGCACCTGCCGCCGCCCCGCCCTGCAGCGTGACGAGGACGCGGCGAAGCGGATGGGTACGCCTCGGGTACGCCTCGGGTACGCCTCGGGTACGCCTCGGGTACGCCTCGGGTACGCCTCGGGTACGCCTCGGGTACGCCTCGGGTACGCCTCGGGTACCGACTCATTCTCTCCGGCGGGAACGCCAACGGCATTGACAAGCATCCGATGGCCGACGAGTCGAACCAAGTGCCGCCGACGAGACCGCCATGGCCAAACCTCGCGCCCCGAACCACCCTGGCTCAGCCTGCCGCCCTGAGGGACGCGCCCTTTTGCCGCAGTACGTAGTATTCATGGTCGCGGTGCTGGGCGGCGTGGCGTGGCGCGGCGCGGCGGGGAAACCTCGGCGGCAAAGCCAAAGCAACCCCGCGAAGGGCCGCCGCCGCCAGGGCCCCGCGGTGGCGGCGCAGCGCGCTGGCAGCGCGTCGGCATGACGTCAGAGCGGCGGGCGTGACGTACACCAGGAGGGAGGCGGTGTGGCGGGCGGTGTGGCGGGCGGCAGGGGCGGGCGGCCGTCGCGGAAGCGATCAGACACGCTCGCTGGCTCGCTCACTCGCACGGGCGGGCCGAGGGGCGGGCCGAGGGGCGGGCCGAGGGGCGGGCCGGTGACGCTCGAGGGCGCACGACCAGCGCGGCGGCCCCCGCGGCCCCCTGCACACACACACCCCTTGACCTCGATGCCAACAACCCCCGACCCTCGCCTGGCCTGCCCTGCTCGGCCCTCGCCGCGCCGATGCTCCCTTTCCTTACACGTGCTTTTCGCACCGCCGCACAACACCCTCCAAAGGTTACACGGCTTACACGCAAAGGACACCTTTGGCGCGAGCCTGGAAATGCCAAGCTTCATCCGAGCGTGTCGTTTATTAATTTGTACAAAATATTTTGAAAAAAAAACGGAAAGAAAAACATGACGGTAAGAAGAAAAATCAAGTTGCTTTCTCACAGACTGTCAAGGTCGGAAAATTCTGGCGCTGGGGATTTTCCTGGCCAGTAGTTGCTGCGCGGCGGGGGGGATGGTTGCCACGCCTCGGCCGCGCCACGCCTCCCTCGCCCGGCCAAATAAACAAAGTGTCCGATTGCACTCGACCTGCGCCGCACGCGCTGCGCGTGCGAGTGCGGGGAAAGGAAAGAGAGAAAAAGGCGGCCCTCGCCGCGCCGATCCCTGCCTCCTGTTTTCGCACCGCCGTTTAGCCCTCCAAAGGTTACACGGCTAACGCAAAGGACACTTTGACGCGAGCCTGGAAATGCCAGCTTCATCCGGGTCGTTTATTAATTTGACAAAATATTTGAAAATTTTCGGAAGGAAAAACATGACGGTCCCGAAGAAATTCAATTTGCTTTCTCACTTACTGTAAGGTTGTTTACTCTGTCGTGGAATTTCTGGCCAGAAAGTTGCTGCGCGGCGGGGGGTGCCATTTCTGGGCCTCACCTCCCTCACCCAGCCAAATAAGGGGTGTCCGATTGCACTCGAGGTCGCCGCACTGTGCGCGTGTGATGCGGGGAAGGAAAGGGGGAAAAAGAGGGAAAGATGACCTCAGCAATCGCGCGGCGATCAGCAGCGCACCGGTCTAAAATCAACCCCTGTCGTCGCGACCCACACACACACTCACACACCGACATGCACAAACACTCGACCGATACACGATCGCTGCGACAAGGGGCAAATATTCATGCCGCAACATGCACCGGTCTGGCAAAAAGAGAATACCCAGCCCACGCCACCGCGAGGGCCTGGCGTTGGGGGTGGGTGAGTGAGTGGGTGGGTGGGAGAGAGAGAGAGAGTGATTGGGAGAGTGAGCGGTAGAGAGAAAGTGAGTGGGAGAGAGTGAGTGGAAGAGAGTGAGTGGGAGAGAAAAAGTGAGTGGGAGAGAGTGAGTGGGAGACGGTGGGAGAGAGTGAGTGGGAGAGTGGGAGAGAAAAAGTGAATGGGAGGAGAAGTGAGGGAGCGACGGAGTAAGAGAGAGTGAGAGAGTGATGGGGAGAATAGTGAGTGGGAGTGAAAAAGGGGGGAGAGAAAAAGGAAACAAAAACT